GAAACGTCACTACGGTGACATTCAAGATTATTCTTATTTTTTGAACCAGTCGCTGGGCCGCTGAGCTTGCTCATGTCCAGTGGCAGCGTGTCGCTGGCCTTCCACTACCGCCTGCTGACGCGAACACCCAACTTTTCATCAGTCTCGCGGCCTCTCGGGCTGCGAGTTGGAGAAGAGCATCACCGAGCACACTTCCGCCGTTCATCAGACAACTTCAACGCACACATTCGCGCACCACCTTGTCCATCGCCTGGTGCCGCCAGCGCGTACCTGCAGCTCCATCGTCACACGCCCGCCGCCGTCTCAGAACCTCCTGATCCACTTGCGCATTCGGCCGCCTGCTGCGAGCTCGATTTCAAACGCGGCACTCGCGACCCCGAACCTAGTCGATTCAATTCGCAACTCCAAATCGGAGCCCTTTCTCTTCCTCGACTCGACGAAGCAAAGCGCACAGCAATACACGCAAGCATGATTGGTCGAGGTACGGATGCGGAAGAGCGCGGACAACCCAGGTGGGCATTGGAGGCAAGCCCTAGGGCCAGGTTGGCGAGCAAGGAAACACCAGGGATGCATGCGGGCAGTCACAATTGGCAATGTCGCACCTGCGATTGAGGTCGTCCAACGACCCAGACGGCCTGTCTGTGACTGCTCGACGGCGTTGGCTGGCGGACACTGTCCACCGACACTCGCTGAAGAGACTCATTCGCTACCTGCAAGCCTGCTGAAGACGGACGCCAGTCTCTCGGTCCAGCGAGGTCGCCGTCAAAATGCTGTCGTGGACCGCATTGGCTTTCACGTTGCTCGCAGCCACAGAAGCAGTCGCAGTGCCAGAAGCTCAACTGGAGCGCGATACTCTTTGGGCTCGCCAGTATGGCGCGAAGTGCCCAGATGCGGACTACGAAACACAGTGCGGAATGGGCTACGACTACACTGGCTTCACAAAAGACCAACAGGAACGAGCTGATGGAATCGTGGAGATGTTCCGCCATGCCTGGAATGGCTACTACACGTATGCTTTCCCGAACGACGATCTTTTGCCAAAGAACAACTCCTTCCGCAACTCACGGAATGGATGGGGCTTGACTGCCATTGACGGCCTCGACACTGCGATCATCATGGAGCAGCAGGACATTGTAGACATCGTGCTCGACTTTGTCCCCACAGTCGACTTCACCAAGAACAACGCCAAAGGTCCGCAAGATGCTCAGACGACAAGTCTGTTCGAGACCAACATTCGCTACCTTGGTGGCCTGTTGTCAGCATATGACTTGCTCAAAGGCCCCTTCAAGCACATGGCATCGGATGACGCGAAAGTGGATGCCTTGCTCGACCAGGCCAAGTCGCTCGCTGATACATTGAAATTTTGCTTCGACACTTCTTCTGGTATACCTGTCAACCTCGTATACATTGACAACAAGACCTTCACCGATAACTCACTCATGCAAGATGGTAGCTTGAGTGCTGGCCTTGCCGAAGTCGGGACGTTGGTCCTCGAGTGGCAGCACCTATCTGACTTGACTGGCGACCCTTCGTATGGCGAGCTTGCGCAGCGTACGGAATCATATTGGTTCAAAGCACCCGAAATCTGGCCTGGACTCACAGGAGGTAACTTCAGTATCGATACTGGCGAGGTACTTGATGTTTACGGTGGCTGGACATCCGGCAACGATAGTGCCTACGAGTACCTCATCAAGATGTACGTCTATGACCCGGAACGCTACTCCAATTACAGTGATCGTTGGATCGCTGCTGCCGACTCCACAATCGAACATCTTCTGAGCCATCCGGACTCCAGACCAGACCTTACCATGGCTGGCGCCTTCAGTGGAAATGTCGTGCAGAACTATTCGGAAGGTCTGGCGTGTTTCATTGGCGGCAGCTTCATCCTCGGAAGCACCGTGTTGAAGAACAAGCGCTACTTAGAACCTGGACTTCAATTCGCAGAGTTCTGCGCAAACGGCTATCGCTATGCCGCAAGCGGTATTGGACCTTCAATCTACAGCTGGAATGAAACGATACTAAGCAACGTAAACTACACCAATCAGACCGATCAGTACCAACGAGCTGGCTGGTTCATCCCAGAGAACCTCGCACTTGGAGGTGGGCAGGCGCCAGAAGCAGTCGAGTCGTGGTACTATGCCTATCAAGCCACAAACGATCAGTACTGGCGAGACGTGGCTTGGGCATATTCTCTCGCGCAGAACAAAACGCTGAGGATTGGATCGGGCTTTGCCAGTATCACCAATGTCTTGCGGGAAGACGGAGGCGAGCAGCGAAACTTCATGGCGAGTTACATGCTGGCGGAAGTACTCAAGTACCAGTTCATGATCCAGTCGCCGAAGCAAGGCATTTGGGACGTCATATCAGGTGATGAAAAGGTGAACCACTTCGTGTACAATACCGAAGCGCACCCTTTTCGGGTCGCGGCGAGGATTCCTGTCTGACTGGAGCATGTGTATCTGCTTCTCGTGGCGTCCGATTCTGCCATGCAAGAGATGGACTTTGATGATTCGCAGAGTAACGCATAGCAGGAATTTATGATCTTACTGTACATCGCTGAATCGTGCACAGGCTTTTCTCTGCTTCCAGAACTCGCAAATCTCAAGTCTTCGCTTCCTTCTGCGACAGAAAAGATTCTTATGACGTCCGTACTAGATGCAAATATTTCGAAATTCAAGGTTAAAGCTGAAGTCTTGGACTTCCGATGCCAGAGATGAGCCGGCTTTCGCAAATCTCGGAACATGCGGGCTTCATGCACGCCAACTATAAGTCCTTCGCGGACCGAAAAGGGAGTAGCCGTGAGAGTTGCTAACGACTACTGCTTACGCCGCTTGACTCAGAGCAGAAATTCTTGCAAGGGCTCCGTGACAAGGCGATGTTTGCAATTGGTTCTGAGTCTTATAGCAATCTCAGGATGCCTCGTTCGGCATAGCGTTCGACAACGTGGGATGCGAGGATGGTGTGAAGACTGGAGACTGGGATTTATTTCCAATGATGTCTCACACTACTGGACTTCCACACGAGATATGACTAGCATTGCTGCAGACTGAGGGAGGAGGTTCCCACGTACAGAAGCGCTTCTCCTGCACAACCTACCGGACTCCAGGCATTTGCAGAGATGAACGGGCTATCTTGCGCTGGCCCTCTGCTAGGAGGCACTGGAGCCAACTATCATGAAGCAAGAGGCCTGGTCTCCGGCTTCTGCTCATCAGCCGCGAACAGCATATTTGGACCCTCAACGAACCAAACAGGCATTTTCAAGACCTCTCAAGGCAATTCGGATCTCCAATTGACAATCTCGTATTCCACCACAAGACAAACGTACGATACGGCTTGCATTCTGGACGACAATGCACAGCTCCCCGTCAGCAAATCAGCCTGCGAACAAGCCTTCTATCGCATCCTCGATCAATGCGACACGACACCTCCAACTTCCACTTTAGGCAAATTCGGCGGAACAGCCAGCTCTGGCTGCGGCGTCTACACCATGGAAACCAAACCCGAAGAACTCATCGCCTGCGGCGGCGACCCTTACCCACGAGCAGTTTCTATGCCTCTCGATATCATGACCGAAGGAATTGAGAAGTATTGTAATTCCCACCTCCAACTTTCACCGGATTATATCCCCGCCAGCGAAGCATTTTTGGTTGAGATTCCGAAGGGACGATCGTATTATAATTTTGTCAAGAATGGGATTGTGGTCAAGATTGTGACGCAGTTTAATGAGCAGGGACAAGCGGGTTGTGCGAATCCGAGGGCTTTTGGGACGCATGGAGAGGAATGTAAGAGGAAATTGACGAGTATTGTGGATCAGTGTGGGATGAAGGGTGGTGGGTTGTCGAGTAATGGGAAGAATGGATGTGTGCTTTGGACGATTTGGGGGCAACATGCTACGACTTGAAATTTGAAAGACCGCTTCTGATTCTGAAATTCGGTATCTGGAAGAGCTTTTGCTTCCTTGGAGTGGAGCTTTGCTTTGCTATCATTGAGGGGTTTTCAAGCCCGTTGCAAGAGTCCATCGCCACGCATGATGAAGAGTGCGGCGTTGCCGAAGATGTCGGTGCATTGGCCGTCGGGTTGGACCCAGCCTGGTCTTCGGCCGGTGGGGTCTATACAGGAGAGCTTCATTTGTGCGAGGGTTGGGAGGCTGTGGAGAGGAGATCTGGTCAGTGGTCGGCTCGTACGAAAACAGGCAACGATGTGAAGGAAGGTACTGGCATACATACCTAAAAGAGAGAAGAGCCATGATGGCGACTATGCTGGTGTCGAAGAACTTCATCTTGAACTTGATCGAAGTCGCACTTCTTGGAGAATCTGGTCAAAAAGCTGGCCGGTGGCAATATCAGGCGCGCGTGGTTGAGGATTTGTTGGTCGTGACGGTTTTCTGAGGTTCGAACAACTACGACGAACCTACTCCATCTTATACGAGCAGACATTGAACGATCGACAGTCAGAGCAAGCGATTCCAAGAACGACTACGGGGAGCAAAAGTCGACCATCTGTGTCTAATTGATGCAGTGTCGTCTCTTCCTGCGGTTTTGGGCTAGACTGCTGCGAGCCAAGGGATCGTCAGAGCTGGCTACTGTGGCTTTCGCAGAGCTGGAGGAGAGATCTTCGCGGCGGGATATATGTCGGAACTTTTCTGAAAGGTATTTTCCCAGGTCATTGGAGAGCTATGGTGGAGAGTAAGAGTATGTTCAGGCTGGATGTGGACTTTTGTTGGCAGATGAGAGCTGTGGTATTGGCGGGAGTTTCGTATTTGGGTCATGAAGCTCGTTCCCCGTACGTTGGTTATTTTGCTCAGCTCTCCAGGAGCTACGTGTTGGTATTCGGTGTCTAGCATGCCAGTACCTTCAAAAGAGAAAGATTCTCATTCAGTTGATATGAATGCATCTCGAGTGAGTTTGTATGGAGATCTCAATAGTGTTGACGGCTTTGTGTAGAAACCGGCCTCCGTCCGCTCCACGTCGTCATCACGACGCGTGCAACTATCAGAAGCCAGAATCATTCGACATGCAGCAAACAACAAACACAAAGAGTTCCCTCGTCCGTAGAGGCACAATGTCGCAAGGCGCGTCGTCCAGGTAATCTGTCAAGATGGCGACGCTCTTCGCCCGGCGCCAGCTCTATCGCGTCTCAATCAGCAGCCTCCGGCTGTCCACGCCACAGCGAAGATGTTTCTTTGGCATGGGCGAGATCCTAGGTGTCCTCACCAATCCAGCAGAGACGTTACGCCAGCTCAAGGAGTCCAAGGACATGCTACAAAAGGCCAAAGAGGAGACCGAGCTGCGTAATGAAGCCAAGAAGATTCCGCCGAAGCATACATTCTCGAAATTGCCTGGTTTCCATGGCCGCAAAGTTGAGCAGGAGCTCCTGCGAAAGGTCTTATCGAATACACCAAAGTTGACTGTGATGTTTGGCGCTACCAGCGTGGGCAAAACAGCACTTTTGAGGGAAGTGCTCGCGACCGAGGACTTTTTCGTTGTGAAGTTCGATCTCAGAATTAGTGGTTTTGCTGATCTGAGGACTTTGTATATTGCTCTTTGTGAGCAGTTTGAACGCTTTTTCGAGGAGATGCACGATGAGGAGATGGATAAGAACAAACTCACGTTTAAGCACCGGCAACTGGAATTGCTCGAAAAGGAGAAGCCAGATAATGCTGGTAATGCTGGATATACGGTTACTGTTGCGGATCTGGCGAGCTTGATGGAATCTCTGCAGAGCTGTTTGCTCAAGTATTGGGAGTATGAGCCCAAGACTGGGAAAGAGGAAGGTGACGAGCAAGGCGCCAAGGCTCGTCAGGTGGATGCTACAAAGCCATCGTCAGCTTTGGAGTATGCAAAGTCCAAGACTACGCAGAAGGAAGGTGAAGGCGAGGGCGAAGAAGAGGCTGCGGAGCCGTTCAAGAAGCGACCAATCGTATTCCTTATGGACGAAGCCCACAAGTTGCCTGCACTGGTCAACGATCGACTAAGCTTGAAAGTCTTCCTCGATACTCTGCTTGTTCTGACCAAACAGGACCGACTATGCCATGTCATTTTGTCAACCAGCGATTCTTTCTTCCATCACTTTCTGCGAAGCATGAATGTTGGACACCACACACAACTTCTGACAATTGGAGATTGCTCAAAGGAAGAGACTCGGGCTTACTTCGATGGTACCATTCAAGAGATGGTTCCAGAACACCTACAGCACAAGTTAAGCTTTGACGATGTCTACGAGGCCTTTGGTGGAAAACTGGCCCATATCAACGACTACGTCAGCAGCTGGGTCAATGCCGAAGGCGAACTTCCGGTCTATCAGAGCGCAGTCTTTGTCCAGGCTTACACACTCCTGCAATTTCATCTGACCAAAAGCACGTTCCAGACTTACTCTCCTTTATCCGTGGCGACGGCAGGAACCAGCACAGCAGCTGATGATGCCACTTTTACACCGGAACATCTGATACACGTGATGAAGAAGCTCGTTGTATCACCTTATTCGCTGCCATACTTCCAATTGTGTCGGGAGATTGGCACGAATGAAGTGGACTCCATGATCAAGACCAGGATTCTTGAATTACGATGGACGAGGAGCGTAACACCCGAAGACTCTGCTGCTGAGCAGGTCTGGTCCAACGATGGGATACAGAGACCTGTTGTCCTCCCAATGACTCGCATTGTTAGAAGAGCAATGGAGGTGGTGCTGAAAGAGATTGCAGAGGCTGGTGATACAACTCACAAAGCAGACTCAGAAGCACGATAGCTGACACTTGAGTGTGACGGTTCAGCATGAAACGTGGTTACCAACAGAAGTCTGACACGAGATCATCCTGCATGCGAGCCAGAAAAATGTTCACTGGTAGTGGCGTGCTACGGTGTACACTTCCTCCTCTTTATTGGCCGGCGGAAGAAGCAGTCAGCACGAGCCGATGTAGCACAGCATATCACCAACGCCCCAGAGTTCGCGAGCAACACTGCTGACATGCAAGACTCTGATACATCAACATACACGTCAGCGGAACCTTTCGCAAGTCTTCTTTCGACCTGTCTTCAACATTATAGCTACGCGAACAGGAACCATGGAAACCAAGAAAACAGGCTCGTTCGATGCGCACGACCAGGCGCCTGAAGTATCTTTTCAGCGAGACGATGGACCCATTCCGGCATCCGTGTATACCACAAGTACATTCGACCAGAGTCCGGTGCATTACTCTCAGCAAGATAAGCCACCACAAGGCTTCGTACCGTTCCAGCAGCCTTTCATGCCTGCATACCCACAATCGATGCAAACAGCGGTGCCTTCAAAATCCAAGCCAGATGGCGATAACACTATCCGCAGGAAGAGAAAATGGGTATGGCCTTTGGCTATGGTCATTGCGGCGCTGGTCGCTCTTGGTGTCGGGATAGGTATCGGATATGCAGTTGGCGACAGCAATTCTTCCAACGACCCTTCTAGCGATGGGAACGATGCTGAGTAAGTACACAACCCATCACCTCATCTCTCAGTAAACACTAACATCTATTTAACAGCAGCGAGCTCGTCACCTCCGGCAACACCGGTATAACCGCCTTCTCCTGCGACTCCTCAGAAGTCTACGCCTCACCCTTCGGCTCCTCTTTCGCACAAGAATGCTACGTCTCTTACAAAACCAACCAAACCGCATACGATAACTCTTCCATCATCGTCAAGAATTTCGCCGGTCTTACTGTATACAACTTCGAAACTTGCATGGACGAATGCGTGAAGAGGAATCGTCAACTGGATATCGGAAATATGTTGGGTGACCGCTGTACGGCAGTGAGCTTCTATGCAAATTTGACGTACAGTATACCGGCTTGGGCGGGAAATTGTTTCATCAAGAATGCGAAAGGGATTGGGAGGAATTGGGATCAGAATTCGAATGCGAGTTTGACGGCGAGTGCTTATTTGGTACAGCTGCATTAACTCCACATCAAGAGACGTGTGGTTGCTAGCCCAAGGCTTGAGTTTCTCGTGGATTGGCAAAGGAACCGAAGTATTCCGGGTTCCGTGCCGAGCTTCGCTTTGTGGTGTTCCAGAGACTGGTCTCCAAGCGGGCGCCCGACGGACTGCGAAATAGACTTCTGAAATCTGCGACATATTGTGGTCTGCTGTCAATGCCATCTGCTAGCCATAGCATGTCCGGAGCTCATTAAATCCGCAGTTGTGCCAAGCATCTACACGATTTCGTCCGAAGTCTGAAGAAGGATCCGAGCCAAGCTTTCCAGCCCTAGGCCCAAGACGCAAGAATAGGAATGCTGGAAGAACAGGAAGCCTTCGATCCGTTTCAGAAAATGAGATTGCTGGCTACTATTTAACTCTGCTCATGAGGTAGGATTGCGAATCACTATTGCCGAATCGACACATTGATCTTGTCCGTTCTCCCAATCCATCACAATCAACACAATGGGTGGAGGAGGCGGCCATGGCGGCGCCGGTCTGAAGGACGTAAACGATCCTCATAGGTTCAACTTCACACTTTGACGTAAAGCAAACCAGAACCCGTCTAACATCGGCTTAGACTTGTGAAGGGCGAGTGGGGAGATCCTGGGTCCTTGCGCCAAAAGGGCATCGTTACATATGCAATTTCTGGGTAATTACCGTCACTCGACAAGAGTAATCTGGCCTGAGATATGAGCTGACCATCTCTTGCTCGCAGCAATCGCGTCAATCCACTGGCCGGAACTTTCAAAGCTGCGATCTTCAACACGTTTCGAAGGACTCGAGGGCAGATATTTTATTGGGGTATTCCTATGTTCGTGGCGTATAGTGCTATGCAGTGGGCAACTGAAAGGTGAGACTTGTGATGTCTGTTTCGTGGCGGTCGAGAGCTATGATACTGATTGGGTGTTTAGGAATGAGTATTTGAATTCGAAAGCCGGCATTGCCGAGTATGGTGGACAAGAATAGGAAGTCATCCAGCAAGCCGCTAGGGTTTAACATCGAGATGTCTCTTTACCTCTGGAGCTCTTCATGAAGTCTCCTAGAACGATTGTCAGAAAGCACTTTTTGTGCCTGGACCAATCGTGGGCCAGGTCCCTCTCCAATCAAGCTGCGGCTTCTGAGCTCTTCAACCTATGGAAGAGAGACAATGGGGTCGCGACAAGCTGTCTGAGACACGACTATGCGTACTTCCTGCTGATAGAGTAATTACCATGCTGTCGCGGATGGGATGGCCTCTTCGGCCTTTGACGTGTCTGTGCCGAACAATCGACCATTCGGGAGACTCGGATGACGCATAGATCGCAGTCATATCGTGATTATCCTAGCCATTTTGACATTATGTCCGCGTGGGTGTGGTCTTCGGACTGATGAACGTGGTGTGGAAAGACTTGTCACGTGCCATGCCGCTATTGTGCGCATTTTCCCGATTTAGCCCTCCCCCTTCCAAGACTCTTGGGCATCTGTTGCTGCCACCTTCCGGCGTCAAGAATTGCTCTTGCCATTGCAGTTATTGCATTTATCGCCATGATCATCATCCGGTCTGTCTTCGACTTTCTCGGTCCTGTCGGGCAGGACAACCCCTAGTGCCACCTTTTCGCAATAACACTCAAGCGGAAAGGGCCCATCCCATCAAAGGATCCATTCTCACGGGCCAAAAGACTTCGTTAAGCGCTTGCACAGCATCAAGCATAAGCTCTCGGCCCTTGCTCAGTATCCCATTGAGGGCCAAAATGCCATGTGTAGAGCCATTATACATCTTGACACTCGCTTCGACTCCAGACGCACGAAGTTGACTGGAGAACGCCAATGTTTCGGTTGCCAACAAATCATACTCTGCAACAGCGATCCAAGTCCGGGGACATTTCGACAGCACTTTGCTAGGTGCCAGGTTCGGAGATATCTGCCATTTTTCTCGGGTGGAGTAGTCGTCTTCGTGGCTAGGCCCTTCTGGCAGGTACATGCTCCGATACCACAACAACCTCGAGTGTGTCAGCCATGGAGCATTCAGATTGTACCACCCGTTGCCTGGAGTCGCCGTGTTATCGATCACAGGCACGATCAGCAACATCAAAACTGGCTTAAAGGAAGGAAACAAGCAAGCAGCTTCCAGGACAAGCACTGCCGCCAGGTTTCCACCACTGCACGAGATCAGCCAATTCCGACAAAAAGAGCACTCCGAATAACTCACGTAGAGTGGCCGCCGATTGCTACTCGCTCAAGATCGACGGGATAGTATTTTGCTGCCTCTTTTCTGAGCCATGTCAGGGCTTCCAGGGCATCTTCTGCTGCTGCCGGGTAAGGATGCTCGGGCGCGAGGCGGTAATCAACAGTGATCACAATGCACTGAGAAGCTTCAAAATGTCAATACAGGGGACACTCGGTCTCGTGGCTCACTTACTTTGGCAGACATACGTGAGAAAGTCGTTCTCGCTGTCCAGTCCTCCACTCACCCACCCTCCCGAATGGAACCATAACAAAACTGGGTACCGAGGTACATGTTGACTCGACTCTGGTACGAAAACACGCACAGCGCAGTGTTCAAGCTGGATGTCACGCTTCTGCCCAACTTTCAGTTCCGCAGACGGACTTGCTAATGTAGGCAGACGAGACCTAGTCGAAGTGTCCCATTTGAGCTGTTCCTCTGGAATTAAGTACTGGAGGCATGTGTCGTGGAAAGCAACATACTCTGGGTCCAAGAGACCTCTCAGAGATGGATGAAGAGGCTGATAAACTGTAGGTGGCTGTGCTAGCGGTGGACTAGGAAATGGGCTCGGATTATTCCATTGGTTCATCGTGCGCTCTGCGATCTGTTGACTTGTCCAGCGGTTGTCGGCCAAGACAAGTCTCTTTCTTAGGATGGTCTGACTAGAAAGTGGATCTTTGGAGGCAACTCCTCAAGCGGGCATTTGTCGGCACGGTGGTCGTACAACCGAATTCATGGGCTGATTGCCGAAAATGACCGGCTGTGGTGGGCACCGATGCTCGAAACGTACTGTTCTTGACGAAAACATGCTGCGATGTTTATCGGGAGCTCATCGTTTGTACGATCATGGTGGGAACAAGCATTGGAGAAGCTGAAATTATAAAGTTCTACTTCGCGGTGCCGCAGAACAAGGCTGCAGTCTGCAGCCCCGCGGCTACAGTACTTCCTATGCACTGACCTATCACGGCATGGACTGCAAGTAACTTCATTAGCAGCACGGTACAGTACCAGGACTTGACAGGCTTTACAAAAGCGGACAGCTTGGCTCATCAAGCTTGCACAAGATTCGATGATCTGGTCAGTGCTTCAACGACTTATGCTAAGTTGCATTCGAACACCTCTACTCTATCAAATGCATTGCCGCACTATATGGCCGAGGATGGCTACCTCTGCTTCTTTGAATCAAATGTGCTGGACGCCAACAAAGACGGGAACCTAGAACCAATCAGAGACCCAGCGATCTCGGCCCGCTAGGGCGCAGATAGCGATACTAAAATGTTTTCGCCGCCATGAGTAAAGCATTGCCACCTCGGGTATAAGTCCAAATCAATTGCAAGACTGTACCTCATGACACTCCTCCTTGGATATCTATTCTCTCTATGAGAGCAAGCTGACCCAATGGACCCGCCCAAAAATGCCGACCAGAGCCAACACGACCTCGAAAATGGCCCAATGCCGAATCAGAACAATGAAAGCAAGAACTCGAAGATGCTACAGCCGATAGCCCTCTTCTGGCGCAGATTCATGACTTTGAGCGTCATTGAAGAAACAGGTGTCGAGCCTGTACCAGCATATGAACGGAATGAGACTAGGATCATCGGGATCTTCACACTGTGGTTCACGCTTTCGACGAATCTGTTGCCCATCGTGACTGGAATGGTCGGGACCTTGAGCTTCGGTCTAGGACTTCGAGATGCCTCATTGGTGATCCTCTTCTTCAGCCTATTGTGTACCACTCCAACGGCATACCTTGCGACGCTAGGACCCGCGACTGGCATGAGGCAGATGATTCAAGCACGATACAGCTTTGGTTATTATGGCGTGTCACTTCCTGTACTACTGAATCTGGCGACGCTCACTGGGTTCTGCGTCATTGACAGCGTCGTTGGAGGTTTGACGCTTTCTTCAGTCAACAGTGGCCGATTGCCGCCTACTGCTGGCATTGTCATCATCGGTCTCATTGGACTTGTTGTCTCATTTTGTGGCTTCCATGTTCTGCACTTTTTCGAACGATACGCTTGGATTCCGGCTGTCATCGCAATCGTTGTCGCTACGGGATGTGGTGGACAACATTTGCACAAGCAAGTCTCGCTCGAGAGTGCAGCTTCTGCTTCGCAGGTTCTGTCTTTCGGAGCACTGATAGCTGGCTTCCTCATACCGTGGGCTGCACTTGCTTCGGACTTTGCAACTTATATGCCTCCTGGAACTCCACGGCTTAAGATTTTTGGATACACCTACTCTGGCCTCTTTTTGCCCACAGTGCCGCTCATGGTTCTCGGCGCTGCGATTGGTGGTGCAGTTCCCAATGTACCTTCCTGGCAAGCCGGATATGAGCGCACATCTGTTGGAGGAGTACTGGCCGCCATGCTCGAACCTGCAGGAGGTTTTGGCAAGTTCCTCGTGGTTATCCTGTCTCTCACATTAATCGGAAACCTTGCCGCGACGATGTACGCCATCACGCTCAACTTTCAGCTGCTGATTCCATATCTGGTTCATGTGCCTCGAGCCCTCTTTGCCATTCTCATCACAGCAATTGTGATACCTGTCTCCATCGAGGCTGCCAAAAGCTTCTTCGTCAATCTGGAGAACTTTATTGGCGTGATCGGATACTGGTCTGCTGCTTTTGTGGCAGTTGTGGTGGTCGAACATGTCTGGTTCAGAAGGTCAGATGCTTCCACGTATTCCCATGATATTTGGAGTTCTGCGAAGAGCCTACCTCTCGGCATTGCAGCAATTGCAGCCGGACTATCCTCGATCGCGCTTATTGTTCCTTGCATGTCTCAGGTGTGGTATACAGGACCCATCGGCGCCAGGACTGGGGACTTGGGCTTTGAGATGGCTTTCGTCGTTACTGCTTTGGTGTATGTCGTATTGAGAAGTGCGGAGAAAAGGGTAGTAGGACGATGACAGCGTCGAGTGCTGTACGGTACGATTGTATTAAAGACCATAATAGTTTTGCGAACAGCCATTGCAGAGTCCCAGTCACATGCAGCACAGATATCTGCAGCATGACCAACAAGCCATTCCTCTTGCAGTCCTACACTGCACACTCATCGATAGACGGCCGCGTTTCCAGCTCTTTCAATAGCTTGAACTGGTCAGCATGACCCCATTACCACTTCATTTAGCATCGCAAGCATCGTATGTACTCACCTCAGCCGTAGTCTGAAACCTCAAACCCTCCGCAACATCCTTTCCAACCCTCAACTGCAGCTCTTGAACCCAAAAACTCCTCACCCACGCCGCTCTCCCATTCCTCACATCCAAATCCGACACAATATATCGAATATCCTTGAGCAGTTTCCTATACTCCTGCGGCACAGATTCCAGCCAAGCGAATAAATCATACGGTTCCGGGAAAATGAAAACCGAATTGCTGTAATAGCTCGTAGCGAATTTGATTCTTGTATCTCGACTGACGTGCATGAGATGTGGGATACGGTGTTTGCCGCAGCTGCCGTCTGCTCGTCGACGAATTCGCCGGACTACGGGTTTTGAGAGGAAGACTTCGTTGTAGATCATTTCGTAGATTTCGAGGGGGAGGCGGCTGAGGTGAGCGGATATCGTATTGAGGCTATTGTTGGAGTTCATGTTGGCTGTTCGTGTTGAGTATACAAAGTTATTTCGTGAAGAGAGAGTCAGTGGTAAGCGGTCAAAATTCTGTAAGTCAGTCTATTGTGCAAGCGGCATAAACATATGTGCTTCGATGCTAAAGTTCTCAAGGCGAATCGGCTCTGGGCGCGATTGCAACAAAGCGTTTCAGAGGATATGCCTAGGCTCGGCAGATAGCATTGTCGCTCCACTGTCATTGCGGTGCTAGGATCAATGGTTTTTGGGCGATTCTGTTAGGGCAGAGTTGGGGCTGTTTGCTAGCTTTTTGGGCTGGAAAAGATGATACTGCTCAGTCAGATAATAATCAGTAAGCACCGAGCACCGAATTGATCCTGGTTTTCCGTGCTTCGGATGATTAATCTTGACTGTGTTGAGTCTCACCGGAGTTGCCGGAACAGGCATCTTTCGAACGTGTCTAGGATACGTGGACCGCAGATTCCAGGGTTGTAGATCGTGCCAACTTCGTCACTGATTCTCCTGTGAGTTGCGTTATGGACCAGATAGCAGATCTCTTTTGATTTTCGTCTCTGAGTGCGGAGTGGGGCCTCTACGATTATGCTCATGCGACCTGGAATGGCTGAGTCGCGTACTCTAGGTAGTAGTTTCCAGTTGCCTGATAGCTTTCCTGGGGATGGTAGGAGCTGTAGTTCCTCCTCACGCAGCCAGGTAGAATTTCTTTGTCCGCGAATCGATCTGCATTCCAATCGAGCCAAATACGTTGACCAGCATACAGAGTTGGAACATGATCCGTACCATTGAATAGCGCAAATTCCAGCTGACTCTCGGGATAGTTTGTACAGGTCTCGTCAACGGCTTGCGTGGACAGCTGCGGAGGAACCAGAGAATCGACGGTGCCGTGCAGCACAAGTAAAGGTCCCCCAATAGGCCGGCCGCCAAGTCTGGCGAGCGGTTTGAAGGCTTGCAAGGCAGAGGTGTTAAGAAGATCGGCGCGGACGAGGCCAGGCTCATCCCAAAGCACCCAAGCAATGTTGTTACAGCCTTTAAGCTCCTCGAATAATTCGAAGCGTCGGAGACCAGCTTCAGTCAGGAAGTCTGCAGCAGAATATTCTGGAAGCACTGAATTCAAGCCGGCCGCTGCAAAAGGTCCTATCAAGGCAGCCAAATGCGGGTATAATTGCAATTGCAACTCGATGTCGGTCACAGGCGATCCAGCAATCGTGCCAAGATGACCATCAACTGGTCTTCGTGCTTGCCGCTCAGCAGCGGCCCACGCAGCCTGACCGCCCTGTGAGTGGCCCATGAGTACGAATCTCGAACTCAACTCCGGGAAAGCATCCTGTGCAGCCTTCACAGAATGGAAAAGATCGTTTGCCGAAGCATTTGCTGCCATCCAGGTATGCTTGATCTTCTCACCCCGGGGATCGTGAGTGACGCCGAGACCTATGCAGATAGTGAGAAATAAGCTCTTTCCTGCCAGATGTCGTTATGAGAGGACAAACCTGCATAGTCTGGAGCCACGACAATATAGCCTTGCAAAGCCAGAATGTAAGGAGCGGAGTACTGATACCACAGATTGCGAATATGGCTTGGCGCGCAATCGCCAAACGTGCCAGAAGTGCCGTGGCCCCAGCCTACGACGGCCAGACGACCGGTCTTAGGATCGGTGCGAGGCATCCAAGGCCAAAGCACATATGCTGAAGCGGGCACCGCAGTACCATTCGCCGTCTCCGACTGGAACAGGATGCGAGACATGGCCGTATTGGGAGGTATAGTGTACAGCGTCGTGTTTGTATAATATTCGACAGACAACAATGAGCCCGGAGGTAAGGTCGAGGAGTTTGCTGGAGGTATCTAGAAGGGATCATTGGCCGCACTGCTTCCAGCCCAGTTCGTCTGTTCGAAACCCACTGCAAGGTTGACGCGTTCTGCAGTTGCATTGTCGAGTCCAGCACGGGATATTTGATCCTCGTTAAGCGTCAAGGTTGAATTCCAGGTATTGCTTTGCGCAGTCACTGCTTGCGCATTCTGGGCAAGAGCCCGCTGACTGATGATTGAAAGTGCAAGCCAAAGCATTTTCATGTCGCTACCACGTGGGAGGTACTTGGCGGCAAGATACATCAGTCCTTCTTGAGATATAAAGCTGAACACCGTCTGCTGAAGGCACCAGCTCTAAAAATCCTCATGACGTATGCAAACCCAGGGCACGAGAGACCCTATCAAGGATCGACGAGCCGTTGCAGACAGTGAGCGGCCGCTCCGCGCCTATATGGTGCTCGTGAGTCTATGAGTATATTTGCGTGTTCTGACTGGAACGCCTGCCGGTCAGATGTATAGGTCGTTAGCAGATATGGTAACTCCTCGGAGCGGACGAAAAAGAAGTCCGAACTACCGAAACGTGCAAGAGTTCTCCCATCAACTGCCGATCAGGTCCTCGCTTCCAGGGTTTCGACAGCCCTACGAGGGTGCCTCCTGGTCTCATAGCAGCCCGAGAAGGGCAAGCGCTTTTTAGTGCTTCCAAATTTGTCAATATCCCGTCAGTCGCTGAGCGTCGGAACAAGGTTGGGGTAAAGAAATAACGCTGACGCGGACGTGTGTACAATGCGAATCGCTGGCTGTACATGAGTGGGTGTGGTGCCTGAGCTGGAATTTATTCAGTTTTTCATGCTTTGAGTACTTGATTCAATATATTCCCGAGGCTGTCAGACTGTACGTATGTCAGCGTCGCCAGTGTATTCAGCTGCTTGATCTACTCACATGAGGCGGTTGTGTGATTTGGAAATGGTTGCCAGTCATGTAGTTGAATGAGTATCGAGCACCTGGCAAGAGCTTCTCCCAGCCCTCTGTTCGCAGATCGCCTCGTGGCTCCAGAAGAAAGCGAGTGACTTTAATGTTCAGATCGACTTCTAACCCAGACTCAGCAACGCTCTTGACCAGGCCCTCTTTGACCCATATGAAGTCGACCTTTGGTGGCACGTGCTGCCTCGGTAGTGTGGTAGGCATGTAGCGATCGACCGAGATGACAGTCGACGTGAAATGCTGCACAAGCCATTCGGGCGCCTTCTTCTGTCCAGATGCGCCCATGAGGCCCTTCTTGGTAAGTTCCGCGACAACTTGCTCTGGTAAAGCCTCATACTGCAGACGGCATGGGGAATCAATCAGAATAAGGCGATCCACTTTCTCCCCGGCTGCCGTCAACAGCTTGGCAACTTCGTAGCTGTAATAGCCACCAGCAGACCAGCCACCGAGCACGAACGGTTTATTCTTGGGTTGCAGCTTGCGAACCTCGTCTACCCACAATCGCGCCATGCGTTCAATTGAGCAAGTGAAGTTCTGGGCCTGACGCAAGAATGGAGAATTCAATGCGATTAGGCACACGTCCTCTGCAATTCTTGGTAGTGCGCCATAGGATGTGCCGGCACCACTTCCATCTGGGAAGAGGAACACAACAGTAGCCGCGTTACTTGGTGAGCCTTGCAGCACTATCGAGAGAGGCACTTTTGGCTTCGGTATGTCTTGCCAAGGATCGTCTAGCTCCGGCAAGTCGTGGCTGCCCTCACTGCTGTCACCTTGCAGGTGCTTCCTGAAACTTTCTACTGTTGGGTAAGCCTCAAAGACATTGTCAGGCACCTCAATTTTGACCTGTTGTCGAATGTCCGAGGCCGTTGCCGTGGCCAGTAATCCGGCCAGTCCGTGGTACTTCCAGGTCTCATGATCTTGGAGCTCCTCCGGCTCTACCGATACAGCCTCTGCGATGATCCGGAAGATGTCGTCGAGCTGCTCCTCTGAAGCCATCCTGGGCAATGTCTGTTAGTTGTGGTAAGTAGAATCAAGATCGGACAACGTTTGAAGTTGCGCATCTAAATTTAGCGTCCTCCTTCGGACTCCGCCAGCCAGCGTTACGCTTGCAAATTGCGTTCCAGCAGTAGCAATTGCCTACGAGATTACAAGATTGGACGCCATAGCCCAGATCTGATCATGAGCATCTGCAGGTCGATGTGAAAGAGGGAACAAAAGTAGGCGCAGCGGCTTCCGGGTAGCTTTGGCGTATGCAGATTTTTGGACAAATGTCGCAGATGGGCAATGAGTGAGGACCAGGAACTCGTGTACTGAAGTCTCGGTCTGCACAATCATGGATGAGCAGAATACAAATGAGCTCAATTGACAGGAGGAAGACACAGATGTATGCTGCTCGGGAGAGGTCGCGAGGCCAGCAGGAAGGAAGGAGACATGTTCGTGGCGGCTGTGCGGCCCGCAGCTCCGTCGGGCTTTCCCACTTCGGCCCTCACGAGGAGCGGGCTTTCCTGAATGGGCTTACCGTCATCCTGTACGTGAGAAATCGGAAGACGTAAAGGAGGAGCGACGGGAACGACTGCATTATTCATCATTCGAGGTATATCCTCCTTTCCACTGGAAACATGTCATCTGGTGCTGTAATCACTCAATTGTCCTTTCCATCCATACCATCATGCCTCCTCCGATGCCAGTACAGTGCCGTCATTCGCCACGGCGAGCTTGTGAGCCTTGAGAGACTCCTTCACCGGGTTTCTGGCTTCGAAGATCATGTCCAGCTCTTCCAAAGTGCGACCTTTGGTCTCTGGGAGGAAGAAATAGAAGACAGCAGACTGGATGGCACACCACACCACGAAGACCTAGCTAGCGTCAGCATGCATCAATTTCGTCGGCAGGAGACAGAGCTGGTACTCACGATATAGGTCTTCCAGCCGATGTTCTTGAGGGAAATGGGCCAGGCAAATTGGCCCAACAGACCACCAGCATTGACAGCCAAAGCAGAGAAGGCCATACCCTTGGCACGACCCTCGAATGACAACACCTCCACTGGGTACAGGGCTTGCAGGGGCGTGAGACCGACCGAGTACGTGGCTCCAAAGATGAAGATGCAGGCGACAGTAGCTCTAGCAGCAGCGGCATTGGTATCGCCGGACTCACTAAAGGTTCCTGTTGCGGCTGTCACGCCGATCCAGACAATGCAGCAGCCTGTCATCGAAAATAACATGAGCGGCCGACGTCCAATGCGCTCCACCCACGCGGCTCCGAACAAGGCAAAGGCAAATTGGAAGCAACTGTATCCGAGGTTAATGTTGGCTTGTTCGACCCCGTCGGTGTATCCGGCAGTCTCCAGCACGGCAGGCAAGAAGTAAGCTGGCTAGAAGTCAGCGTCTGTCTGGAAGGAAAACCAGCATTTGAATCTTACAAAGCACTCCGTTTCCGGCCCATTGCGCGAAAATGGAGAAGACGATGTTGCACGCGATACGGTACCTGGCTGATCTGGATCCGAAGAGAGCAGAATAGTCCCAGAATCGTTTGTCCTAGCGATCGACGATGTCAGCTACGCACTTTCCTGGCCGCAAAGATTTGCAATTGGACTTACTGCACCGTTGGTATTGAGGTACTCTTCGTATTCGGAGACCTCGAGCTTGACCCACGCGGAATCTGGGTTGCCGTAACCATGCCACTTGGTCAGAACTTCAATAGCTTTGCTGCGCTTGTTATTGACAAAAAGCCACCGAGGAGATTCGGGGATGAACCAGACGAAGATTGCAATAAGGCCGGGGAACACCATTTGGAGATACACTGGAAGCACCCATGAAGTGTTACCTGCAAGGTTGAGTCCACCACGGACTGCACCGGCGGCCATGATGGATCCTGTGAACCAGAACGTGTTGCAGTATGCTGTGATGACGGCTCGCCATGATGGATGAGCTGTCTCCACCACGTAGATGGGACCTGCTGCAGAGACAATGGAGACACCGAAACCGAGCAAGAAGCGACCGCCTTTGAGTTGTCCACCATCGCCTGTGTAAACTGTGGTACCATTGATGACAGCGCCGAGGATAATAAGCCAAGCACCAATGCTCATTCCAACCTTTCGACCTGATTGGCAATTAGTGGTCTGCTTCTTCAAGCATACTCGGCTTTCTTTAGGCACCATTTACTCACCCCAGGTATCGATCGCAGGACCAACAAAGGGCAGTGCAGACACGCCACCAATCTGGTACATGGCTGCATTGATGGCCTGCCAAGGTCCATTTACGCTTCCATTGAAGAAGTCAAGGAAGACTTTGTTTGCACCAAGTCCACCAAACAGAGATCCATCGTACCCGTTCATTGTTCTATGCATGTCAGAGCAAAATCTTTCTCGAGGACCTTTCTACAGCCTGTGTGGAGATGGTCCGATGGCATTCGGAGAGCGGGGCGACTCACTGGCAGAAGCATCCGAGCAGCAGACAACCAATCAATCTGAGGGTGACTGGATGGAGGAATGGCGTGGGCTCCTTCGCCTTTGCTTCATGGAAGGCATCACTTCCCTTCACGACTTTCACTTGGACCAGTCCGGCCTGCCTTGATTAGCTTTACCATTCAGAGCACCAGATCTCGGATCTGCTTACCTCCTTCTCGTTCATGATTTCCACCACGCTATTCGCGCTCTTCTCTTCGACGACTCCAGACATGTTGAAGTCGTGTCCAAGAAAGTGTCAAAGTGGGTATGCTTGAGGAGCAATAACGAAAAATGCAGCTCTGCTGTCGCATCTATATCCTCCTCGCCAAGGCTTACCTGCGACCCAACACAAAGGTGTTTGGCCCCATGGGGCCACGCATGTGATCCTGGAACGAACAGGGTGCGGAGTCCTTTGTGTCCGGCACGAACAGCCTGCCCGGAGACACGGTCCTCCCCTCCGCGCCCAAAAAGTAGTATACTACTGAGAAAATCGAGTGAGCTAGAACCAGGTCGGCTACAGAGTTGCTGCTCGCTTGGATGCAACGTATTTTCAGGTTGTATTAGTGGCGCTTTGGCCTCGGCATGGAGCGAGAGCCATTGGCCTGGTCGAGCCCGGAGGGCATGGGTCCGTGGTGCATTCGACAACAAGCTTTCTGGGGTAGCGGACTTCAAAGAAAAGCCACGCGAAGGACATGCTGCAATGACAGTTCGTATATTCTTGCAAATACCCGATTCACGCACGGAAAAACAGCTCAAGCTATGCAGGAATGCAGCTGATTCTACGCCGTGGCTGGAGTTCTATCACACGATTAGCTTTCCAGGACTAGTGTGTATGGTCTTGGCACAGGGTCATGGCATATTCGTCGTCCAATCCTCATATGTTGTGCCACGAACGTAGGATTCGGACGCAGCTATCCGTTGTCGCTTCTGAGCGATCTGCTGGAGCCTCGACTCGCCTTATTGGACATCACGCGCCTTGGTTTCGATCATACCGCTCAGAGCCTCAGTCGGCGAGGCGGTCCGATGAACAGGAGTGTATGAGTCTTTCTCCTCTACTGCTTTTTGGTGGCGGCGAGTGGGCGCTTCTCTTCGTCTTTTTGACAACTCCTTCTAGGTCACAGAAACTCAGTCGGGCGTCGATGGGCCATCGTCGTTGACCGAGTCGCCGCTCGAAACGATCGAAGGGAGAGACGGGTCCGGCGAGACGATGTCGTCTGTCACGTAGGCCAAGGTCTCCGCCGCATTCCAAGACACCACTCGTTCTTCCATTCGACTCGCTCCCGCATCCGTTCTCAGCACACCAGCCGACAACATCCACGTTCCTGTGCCCAGAATGCTGCTGGGCGGGGAGAATTGACCGAGCACGTATTCGTGAGGCCCCTCGAGAGCCACTTCCTCTGAGCCTTCAGGTCTGTCTTCAACGTATTGTATCTCCGACCAAACGAGACCTCCATCGACTGGGCCGGAGTAAAACACGGCGCTCCAAACAATCGGGCCCCATTCTGGAGTCAAACGCCCCTGGTCATCGAAGGCGGCGCCGGGTTGCAAATGGGCATCACTGCCCGGCGGCGTGATGATCACGGCCACGGAGGTTTCGCTGCCATCGACTTTCTCAAAGATGAGAATCTTCTCGTAAACGTACTCGCCCTGGCTTGAGCTGTCCATCATCTCTGTTGTGGCATCCATTGTGTTGGAGTCGGCGAATGCGGCTGTGTTGACTTTGTGGTTTTGTGTGCAATGGAGACAATGGCCTTGTCTAGTTGGGTAGTGCGCTCGCGGAGTGGATGCGAGAAAGAAGGATCGTTGTCGACGGCGACAGTGTGGACGACGAGCGAGTGCTGGGTGCAAAGTCTTGCGGCAGAGTTGCAGCAAGCAAGCAGCGGCTTCAGGGACACCGACAATGGCAAAATTGACAGTGGGCACTCGAGCGGGAACGACGGGATGGCCTATTCACCATTGAGAAATCCATCTTCGAGAGCCACTACAATGCGGGCAACAACATAGACATACCGAGCACACAAACCTGCCTGCCATCCAGCAAGCTCCTGGATTGTCGAGCACATCCAGGGCTCCGCCATAGTCTAGCATCACGCAGCCTGTCACTCTCGTGCCACGGTCAGCAATGGCACGACTTCATCAACGCCTGCCTTACGCTTCATGCCACAACCTAGCCATCCAACAGTAAGGCTCGGGGCGAAGAACGTAAAGGTGGGCGCTGCCCCTGTATCGAGCTTCGATAAATTCGCCTCGATGACAGGTCTTGTCCAACAACGCCGAAACAGCATCACCAGACCAATGATTTGCTCGCCCGTCATCCCAACCGCCAGAACCATGCGTGTCCATAATACTACCCAATGGCCTGACCATGTGCCTTTCGCGACTTGACATCGGAACTCGAACCTGCCACAGCGACCGCCGATATCCTCAGGCCAGCACATCCCACGGTACGCAAACAACGATCGAGACCGAGCGAGTGACGGGAGCGATGGACGACGATCTTGCGGCGCAGTGTGGACCGGACAGCGGAGGAGAGGGAGAGGCACAGAAGGAGGTGCAGATATGGAAACACATACATTGACCACTCTACATCTCAGAAGCTACGATAAGTTCTCACGACCTCCCCAACTTAGATCAATTGCGGCATACTTCTCCTCATCTTCGCCGAGAGACCATACAGCACCGCCAACTCCATTGCCTCATGAGTGCGCTGGTCTGTGTTCTTTGAAGCTTGCTCCCAGCTCACTGCTTTGCGTCTGCCTGTAATGGAGCGGCCAAGCTTGCTGCTCGGCATTGGAAGCATCGACAGGCCATACTTCTGAGGAGTCTGTGCTAGCTTCTGCGACGACTGCTGAAGGCTGCATGAGGTCTGGATCTGGGACACCATGCTCTGGCTTGACACTGTGGAGGGCTTTGGTTTGGGCCGGAAGGACTTCGAGTCCGAGAGCTTCTTCCAGAGTGTTGACTTGTGGTGGATGGGCAACTTGGTGGGCCGCGCCTTTGGCCGCAAGGGCTGCTTTCTCGGAGGCTTCGCACGCTGGCAAACAACTTTTGGTGACTTCTCAATCGTCCGCCAGCCGTCTAACCAGTGCTGAAGCTCAATTTCGCCATGCTGCTCCTCAAATGCGTCCAGTCTCGCCCTCTCCGTCGCTACGAGGCGTTCAATGTGGACATGCGACAGCGAAGCCCGAAACGAGCTTGAGTTTCGCTTCCATTCCTCCCAGGGCTCAGCGAGCAACAGCTCTGGCATCAAGTTTCGCCACCCATTCACGGCATCAGTCAGCAAGGCGCTCACAGGCTTGGTATTGTCGTACTGAAGCCGGCTCTTCAAGGTCAGTGGTTGCATGAATTCTGCGTAGATTGAAACCTCCACCTCATAGAAATCCCGAGACGACCAAGCGACTCTGAGACCTCGCCACTTCACCTGGTTGCGTAGAAGAAAAGCCGACACAGGAATCATGACTTTCAAGATCCTAATGTCTCGCCCCTCATCGAGCTCGCATTCGGTCAAGCTGAAAGGCAGGAGTGCTTTGTCGAAATCGAGTGCATCAACTGCCAGAATCGGATTGAGGTGGAAGTCGTTCGTGTCCGAAATGGGCTTTACTCCTGCCATAAGGCGTTCTTCGACGTCGAAAGGAAGTTGCCGGGGTCCAAACCATGCCTTCTTTCGGGCGGTCTCTGACTTCCAGATGATCTTGTACCACGAATGGCTCACCATCAGGCAGGTCGCGAGGTCCTTTATGGTCAGGTATGAAATAATGTGTGAGACCTCTTTGAGCTCGCTCTCGGCGTACTTGGCTTCCATGTACTGTCGCATCGACTTCCTGAAGCGTTCCGGGGACTTTGGTGGTATCGATGGTGGCTCGAAGGGCTTCGAGCCTAGTTTGGGACTGAAGAGTGGAGGAGGTTGGTGTACGGGCTGAGAGAAGCGCTTCTGGACGATCGGTCAGCGAATGTGAGCATCGAAGAGTTTTGGATAGGACACTTACTTGGGAAAGTAGAGTCCAGTCAGGCTCATCGTCTGAGCATCCATCTTGGCTGTAGGTGCTACTGCTAGAGTCCCAGTCGAGGATCTCGAAACTACTGGCTGCGCTGGTGTTACATGGCGAGTCCTGGGTCAAGGGAGAGTCTTCGTCTGACAGCAATCCGGCGGCCTCTCGACGAGGAGTATAGGGCAGCGGCACCGAGTCTTCGCTTGAGTGCTCCATTGTTGGAACAATGGTGGTTGGAATGATCTCAGTGTATTGTCATGTCGATTGGTCCTTGAAGGATTGAGAAAGGATGCAGGTGTCGAAGGTGAGTTTTATGATTGAAACGAGCTCTGAGAGATTCTCCGCATGTGATCGTATTGAACTGATCCATGTGAAGTAGAGATTTTATTACATGTGCAATACTCCTATTGCTTCACATTGTTCAGCTTATGTGAATGCCAATGCAGCATGTGCTAATCTGCAAAGTGGATTCTAGCACGTGAGATCATGAACATTACTGGCTCGAACAGCATTCACGGCAACACATGCCATATCAAGCTCTGTCAACTCCAAGACTGGAGACATGGTGGAGAGGTGGCTGTCCTTGCGGCAAAGGAAATGGTATGCTAAGCGCCAAGCTTTTTGGACCCCTGAGGACGGCGTGTTTCGCTTCTAACCTCACCTCACTTGTTCTGCAACACGTGATTGTTGCAATTTCATTGCATGAGCCTTTGCTCATTTTCTCCTACTAATACACGGGGCACACATGGAGCGAAGTTCGCCCAGACCTGAACTCACCTCGCTCGCTGATTCTCCTGGTATGGTTTTCGTCTTTGTCAAGGTGGGAGCACTGAGGGGCGAGACTTCACAGGCTGATTTGTTTGCCAGACGCGCTTCGCCAGGAGCCTTGCCTTAAAGCATCAAACATGCAAAGCCCTGCGACCATGCATCATCGCTGTTTGCTCGCTGGTTTTGACACGCATGCCAAGCACATGCGCTCGTCGTCATTGTTCTGACACTCGCACCGCTCTAATTCGAGCTTTTGCTCTGATTCCCGACACCAGCAACCAGCGCTGAGAACTCGACATGGCCGACGCTGACATTAACCATCGCGTTGGCGCCGCGCTCTTGCAGCTTGCCGAGCTGAAACAAGCTGCAACGGGCGATGTTGTTACTGCCAAAGAAGAAGTCGAGAGCATTAATCGCGAGCTCACCCGCGCAACCGCTCTGGCCGCGACCATCGAAGCCGGCACAACTGCCTTTGTGGCAGACGTCGAGCGGCGATGCAAGGCGTTAGACAGATTCATTGCAACCGATCCAAATGATCGCGATGACGTACTGCTCGATACGCTTCTGCAAATGCCCAGTATGCCCCTCCTCCAATGGCCCATAAAGCATGGCTGCGGCTGACTTGCGACTATTACAGAGCTCCCAACCTACACTTATGCGCAGACAGAAAGCTCTCGGAGCTCTTCAGAGACCCCTGCAGCGCATTCTGTAGAGCAAGTGGCCCCTTCGAGATCTGCTCCACGGCATCCTCGGAAGAGTTTGCACGCGGACAATCTGACGCAACTTGACAAGCCATATCACCACGAGTACTTGAACGCCTGTCCTTGCGTGATTTACGACGGAGACGAGCAAGAGTGGATCGAGTTGCGTTGTGCTATCTGTGGTACGAATTGCGGACAAACTCGTCGGAATCGCACCTACCTGGCTGGAGCCACGGCAATGATTAGCCACATGGGGCAGATGCACCCGCCACTGCCTACAAAACGGACTGTGGGCGATGTCGTTCGAGACTGCCGTTACCGCGCCGTTCCTCGAGAAGAGCTGGAGAGAATCATGTCGGGCGAGATGGTCATTCCACTCCGAAGTTCTAACGATGCCACCGCTGTGCCGCCTTCTACCTTAATCAGTAAGTTACACCATATTCTCTTGGCCAGTATCTGCTGAACTCATACAAAGTAGCAGATCCGCCAGCATTCACGGAACCCGCAACGTATCGTTCGTCTCAAGCTCGTGCACGCTTACACCGAGAGTTGAAGCGCAAATCATTGGCGGAGAGCGATATTGGGGATGATGACGAGGACGACTCGGAACTGCCTGCAGCGAAGCGATCGCGCGCCGACGACGTGTCCGCATTGTTTCACCCACGCCGTAATGAGTGAGATGCTATCGAATAGGCTGGAAAGTGCAAATGATGCAGTAGAGACAACAAGCGATCCGTCTGCCACAAAGTAGCGCATAGAGAAGAAGGCAAGATTCCAAGCTGAAATCAGCCCATGCGAAGTACGAAATACGCTCGAGTGTTTCACAGATCGCTTCACAGTCTGTTCGAAGTTTCAGCAATGCAGTCTACCGCTGATCAAAGAATTTCGTAGGAGCGAATGCTACTCCACTGCATTTTGAACAATTTTCCCATTTCCCAAAGCAGCACAGAACGTACTCGTGTAATACTCTATTTGCCGCCGGCTTACTTATCTGGCTGCGAGATAGTCCTTCCGTGTTGTGACACTCTCAACCAAGTGTCCCGAAGAGCTCTACACTGAGGACCTCAAGACACAGTATACAGAAGACGAAGGCAAACTCGATCCGGTATGTAACTCTTCCCAAGCCCTCTTAGGTACCAATCATCGATCAGGTATACAACTCAACAACGCTGAGTACCGCTCATTGAGAATGTTCACTGGGATCCAAGCTGCTCTGATGCATACGTTTTCTCAAACTGGTTATTTTCTACAGCCATCGGATTGGTCCTCCGAGAAAGCTATGTCTATCAACAGCGGGATAATAGCACTATCTATAGCCTGAGATGGGACAAAAAGCTTGGAAACATATCATTAATATAGGGCAAAGATATTCTACAACATCGAATGCAGAGAACGAAAGCAATCTCACATCCATTTCAAGGTTCAAGGTTCGAAGGCCTGCCAAGCCTCTCTGCAACAACTCATCACTCAGTCCTGAATGTTGATCGTGTAAGGTACCGCTGATACCTGCATTATCTATGAGACGTTCCGGCCTCTTTGATCTGCTAATTTCTACTTGGAGAACTTCCAATAAAGAAGGCTCGTGCCTCTGGACATAACACTGTACCACCAGCCTCAGTGCCGCAACATGTGCGAGCTGGACTGATCGTTTTGGCTGGGAGACAGCCCAGAGTGATCTCTTATGCTTGAAGCATGCTCGATATCACAGCATGATCTTCCGTGATATCTCCATCTGCAGACTCATGGCAAATATCAGATTACACGGCTTGCTTAGGATGTGGACAGCTTGAGAGCGCATAGCGCGTCGAGCTCATTCGACGTGGACGCCTGCCCATTGACCCATCTTCTGTGTTTCGAGCAGTATTGTTCCAGATCGAAGAACTGCACCCATCTACTAGACCGGGAGACCTAGCGGCTCTCAGCGCGTTGGGTTTCCGGAAAGATGATTGGGCTTGCTACCAATATCGACAAGTCGCCGTCATGATCTCCTTTGAAGCAAGAAACAACCAGCTGGTCTTCCTACTCGTTTCTCGTCTTTCTGTCGGTTTGCACGGCACGGAGTGAGCAATTTGGTCACAATCGTTTGCGGCAATCAGCAAACGCTCGTCCTTATTTTCGAACATATATTCAACGACTGTAGTTTGTGAAAATTTCATCTGTATGGATCAGCCATCAAAATCGCATGTGCTCTACACGTTCACAGTATGGAAGATAATCACCAGTCAGAAACACAGTATCCAGGGCACATGCTCGATCTCTCATTGACAATCACAAGACTGAGCTATTCACCCCAGCTGCAGACTTTCTACAGTGAATCTTATCCACATGCATGGAAAAATTAGCATTCGCAGTTGATTCACCACTTGCAAGCCAACCATAAATACCCTTACATTCTCACCTCTATACCTCTTCCTTCATCCTACCTGACCACGAAAGCATCGATCCACGATCCACGACGATTTCTCACATACCAACACACAAATACACCCAACATCATACCAAATACAACACTCTTCCGACGCGATGTCTTCCCGTACCCAAACCATCGATCCCAAAACCGCACTCCTCATTGCCTACGTGCACAACATCAATGCCGAAGGCGACATTGCAAACCAGGTGACAGAGGAGATTGTACAGATCGGCGAAGGAGCCTACGCCGACTGGTACGAAACACTCGAGGTCTGGCTCGAATCCCACAGCAACGAGTCTGGTGCTCCCAACATGAAGCTCATCGCGGCTTGGGCTGCCGCAAAGCGTGTCGGTCAAGATGGCGACGAACAGGCCCTGAAGATGGCCGACAGCATCTGGGAAACGGGAGAGAGACTAGTGGCTGGGTGGAAAGATTCTGTCGCAGCGTGGACGACTGCAAACCCTGGCCTTGCTCCTGCTTGAGTTCGGTGAGTAAATACTGGTGGTTAGTACACATAATGCACTGCTAATGAAAGTGTGTTCAGGTATACACCACACTAAGAGGGGCCGGTGAAGCTTGAGGCGTAGAAGAGTGTCTGAGGCTAGGCGAGGATTTGGACGAAGGCGCTCAGGAGAGGTTAAATGCGTTTGGACTTTCGGCGCGCATATTTCTTTGTTGTATTGTATGAGCAGCCGCACTTCTTTGGGAAGTCCATACGATCAACGGCGCCGCAGACATAATTACAGGAAGTTGCTCCTAACGGCGACTTGGCCTGCGATACCGTCAACAGAATCGAGAAGCATAATTTGCAAATTTTCCATCTACACGCTCATGTTCCACCTCAATGCTCACAGAAGCTGAAAGTCTCCTGCTGATAGCGCGTATCCACATCCTTGACGAACATCTTTCTCTCCTCCATCAAATCCAATCGAATGTCTTTGGCCTCTTGCAACTCAATCGGCAGGTCGCCTGCACTCTCCAGCACGTGCTCCGCCAGCTCAGGTGGCAAATTCGCGACGCGATCCAGACCATACACCATACCTCTCCACCAGTCTTTCTGCTGCGGCGGAACGTGCGCAGTAGATGGAATGCGAATGTGCGGATCGACGAGGAACAGCGCCAAGATCTTGCGATGGCCTGGCTGAGACTCGTCTGCGAGACTGAAGGGTTCGACGCGATGTTGAAAGACGTTGGGAAAAGCCAGAAGGCGGCCTTCACGGGTGTTGACGTGGCCGAGGTCTTGAACCGCAGGCTCGTCATTTTCAATACCGTAGACGCGCTCCAGGTGTTCGAAGTCCCCCTGCTCGTAGCCCTTCTCCTCGAGGTGCTCAACGCTGGCGGCTTCACGGAAGGACAGGTAAGACTCTGTGATGTTCGAGCTATCGTAGTAGTAAAGTGCTGAAGCACAGATGTGCTCATTGAGTTGACCTTCGATGTGCCACGATCCGCCTGCGTAGTCCGGTCTCTCTGGAGTTAGGTGGATGTTTGCCAATTTGACTATGACCTGAAGTCCTTGGTCTGCGAAACTCTTGCGAAGGTCAACGAACTTTTCTGGATCGCCGTGCTTCGCTCGAGTCTGGTAGTCTTTTTCGATGTCTGGCATTGACAACGTGCGATTGTCTCTGACCCAATCAACGTCTAGGTCCCAGATATCGTCCTCGTCAAGCTCTGCCTCGTTCTCTGCAGGAGGCCGCTCCCCGGTTGGATCGATCCATTCAGCATCCGCATCGTCTCTTGGCGGAGCCGCATCGTCAGACCGCGACAAGCACGCACTCCACATTGGGACAGCTTTGGATATAATGCGCTGCACAGCTTCATACAGAGGTTTGTGCAGCTGAGGATGCAGATTGTTGATGTAGCTCGTGATCTCCGTTTCGTCGGCGCCGCGGAAAGCAACCTCGCAGGGCAGCCATTGGTACTTTTTGGAGTAGAAGTGCTGCTCCGGTTCGTTGTACCAATGACCCCAACTACTACGACCGGGAAAATGCTCTACTTTCACGTGGTTGTCCTCCGGAACCGGTGCAACGAGGCCCTTGCCGATGTAGGAAACGCATTCGTTGAATGGCACGGTTCCTTCCGGGAGCACAGTAGATCGTCCATACAGAAGAGGGAACAAACTCGGATGGACGAGATCGAGAACCTGCTCCCCGGAGTGCGGATGCCAGTCTTTCTTGTCATCAGGAACATCTTCAAGAGGCGCGGCAGCCGACTTGAGAGCCTGTTTCATTTCGGCTGTGACGAGAGTGTCTGACTTGTAAACCACGCCATTGGCGTCGATTGCCGGCACCATCTGAACGTCCTTCAGTTTCGACGCGTAGTCGCGGATTTCTTCGATGCAATAATGGATTGCTTTCTCAGTCAAGACGCGCTCAGTTTCTGCATCCGCATTAGTCGCCAGTGCTTCGGCGCGCCACTTGGCCACGATTTGGTCATCGAAGACCTTGCGATCCCAATCGGGCTTGTCGGTGATCTCCCCCATCAACGCCATCATTCTGCGTTCGCGTTGTGTCAAAGGTGTGCCGCTCCAGTCGGAAATGGCATTGGGGAAGCGAGGAGAGCCGTCTGCGCTCCAGCTGAAACTGTAGTCCGCAATGTCATTGATCGGGCAGTCCACGCCGTGAAGACGACGAGCCATATTGGCAGATGTGCTGCGAGGCTGCAGGTGCGATCTTGAGTAGTTGTTTCCAGGAGGTGGAGCGCCAGCTGAACTGCGCAAACTCCCGACTGTGTCAAAGAAGGAAGAATTTCTGAGCAGTCGATATTGGAACGACAAAGTCAGTGCAGTCCGCCGACTTAAGAGGTGTCGCATGTGCCTGATGGTTCAGGCAGCGAGCTCCTAGCGCGTGAGCAATTCGATGTTTTTTGCTGCGAACGGTAGAGGTCGAGGCAGCAGAGCGGCTGTGGCTGCGGGAAGTCCAGCCATGCCTTGGCATAAATCAGCACTTTCGGCTCCGCCAGCCTGGTCCTACGCGACGATATCATTGAGACTACATACCAGGGCCTCATTCAAGATATCCTATTAGTGTCTCCAGCATTTCTCTCGTGTCTTGGTCCTCTTCAGAACCGCCTTCCAGACCCTTCATCTGCTCGTCCAAGGATGTCTTGATCATGCCGAATCCACCATGAAACTCTTGCAGCGCCAACTGCCTGATGCCTTCGTCTTCTGCTACCAGCCATGCCAATATCACATCGCACATCTGCAAGCAGAATAGACCGCCGTCAAGACGTCGGGAGAACCACTCGTCTGCCCGGTCCTCGAGCTCATCGTCCGGAAGACTCTTCTGTTCTTGGGCAATCTCCTTCTCGACTTTCGACACCTTGGCAGCATATTCTTTTCGCAGTTTGATCAGCCTCACGACTTTCTCCATCTTCTTTTCCGTGAATTTTGCCAATACGCGGATGCGGGCTGCAGACTCTCCAGGTAGCAGTCGCAGCATGGCGGAGAATATACCAAGCAAATGCTCCACACTCGCGGCGTCCTTGCTCTTCATGAACGTACTGAACAGAGATTTGAGGCCAGCGGCATCAACTATCTTGTCGCAGACCGCGGCAGAAGCTGCTCCCTGGCCATTCGTCGCATGGTCCAGTACCCGTAGTGCACGTTGCGTGATGTTCTTCGTTCCCTCTTTGAGCATGATCAGGCCCAGCTCGACACCTTCTGCCTCAACAAACTTTGCCTTCCCCTCGACCTCGTCCACCACACATGTTAGCGCATCGAAGAGGTTCTCCACGAATTCCTCCTCATGGGTGTCTTTTTCCGGATCACGCTTCCGATACGCGGCAAGTAGCTGCAGAAATAGATCCACGCCGTCGATGTCCACCGCCAAGCGCTTTCGAAGTAGAGAGGAGGACTGCAGTAAGACCTGGAGCACTTCCGCCGCATACTGCTTGTTCTGTCCCACGGGCTTCTCGGCGACTTTGATGCGATTGCACAACCACATCAACAGTCTCTCCTGTCCAATCTTCTCCGCCGTTGCCTGCTGTCCTGCCAGACTCTCCAATACAGCCAGCGAGTGATACATGCCGTTTCGATCACTCTCATTCTCCTCGTCAAGTCTCCCCAGGTTGTCCATAAGAAGGTCTAGCAGATCTGCATCAAGCAAAGCAGCCACAACCGCGTCCCATTGGTCTTGTTCCGCCTGCACATCTTCATCCAGGAGCTCAGACAAGATCTGAATTGCTCCAATGGCAATGTCTGTATTCTCATGCGCAAGCAATCCAACTAGTGTGGCAGCAGCGCCTCCTTTGGCAAACTCAATGTACAGCTCCGGATGCTCGCCTAGCAAACTCCAGCTCTTGATTTCCGCATCCAAGTCTGCCTCGCTCTCGATGAATTTTGTTGGATCACTCTCATACTTTGCTCTCAACTCTGCATTCTTCACAACTTTTCTCTCAAAACTCGTTGTCAACCTCCTCAACCATGCTGAATCAATCTTTTCTTCCTGTAAAGCTTCCTCCGCGCCATCTGCTTCATCGATATAATCTAAAGCCTCCGCCGCGTCCTTTGTCATGCCTGAGCCAAAGAATTTGCCATCTTCATCATCGCCTTCATCGTCGAGATCTGGTGGAAGTTCGGGGCCGGCTTCGAGGTCTTCATCTTCAGCATCCTCTACTGTCGCGCCGTTGGCCCGGCCATTCGGAGATGAGGACTTGGATAGTTTAGAAGCCTTGTAGACTTCTTGCGCGTCAGGAGCTTCGTATTTGCGCTTGTTTCCCGCAGGCGGAAGGTTCGGTTTTCGGAAGAGCTCGTCGATGGATGTCATTGTGCGAACATGTGGTTTTAGGAGATGCGGCGCGTATCGTCTCGAGCTCGAATTTCCATACAATCACTCAGTTCGAGGTCGATAGCGGCACCTTGACACAATGGCTGGCTTGATACGCTTGCTGTCGAGATGGCTGCACGCGAAAGTCTTGCGGACGAACAACCTGAAGTTCACGATGTGACAGCCATCGAAACTTGATGGTGCCAATCATCAAATTTTGACCACATCCTGCCGATGGCCATAGCTCCTGTTTCACTTCGGCCTCTTTCTCCTGCCTGCACGCGTTTCTCCATCACAACTCCAATCAACGACAGAACGATGTTCTCCCAACTCCCCGACGAGCTCAATGAACAGATTCTGTCCTTCATTGAGCTTGATAGCAAAGCCACGCTTAGAAGCATATGTCTAACAAACAAGACGGCGAACCGCTTGGCGACTCCATTGTTCTACAGCCACGTTGATGTGGTGGGTAACAAATTCGATGCTGACAACGATCGTGATATCATCCGGCTGGGGCGACTCTGTCAGACTCTCGTCGAAGATCCACCGCGCTGTGCGTATGTTAAGACCATCCGACTCGCAATTACGCGGGATGACAAGGACTTCCGCATCGTGGACTATCTTAAATTCAACACACAACAATGCGAGCAGGGTCTGACTGGATTATCGAATGATGTGCGACACACCATAAGCACATACCTACGTTCCGAAGAGACCAATATGGAGCCACTGCCTCGCGCGACCCTAGGAGGCTTGCTACTAGCTATGTGCCATCAGGCGAGAGTGCTGCAGCTGGAAGGCGACCCGAACATGATTGGCGAATCTCTCTTGAAAACCATTATACTGCAGATGAGCACGCAGCCTCCAATTTTGGCTTTGCAAGACGTCACTCTGCCCTGTGGTGCAGGCCAGACCATTTCGGTGCCAGGTCTTGTGCCCATTCTACGTCTTCCTTCGTTGCGCAAGCTGAATTTGCATAACTTCGTACTACATCCACAGTCTTTCGCGCCTGGTCTCACGGCAAATGTCAGGAGCTCGCTGCAGGAGCTGAATTTGACGTACTGCACATTCGATATTCTGGACTTCGCGCCCTTACTGCTGTGCTGTCCCAACTTGCGCTTACTCTGGATCGAATGGTACAATAGGGATGACAACTTCTGGCGCATGGACTGGCCTGCTCTCGGTGGCGCTGTACGAAGATTGGCTAGTCTTGAGTCTCTCCGTCTTGAACACCGGCATGACATGTCCATGACTGTGGCATCAAGAGAAGCCAATGGCCTCGTTCCTCCAGGTATGGAGGTCAATCACATATTACCAATGGGGTCAATCAAGAGTTTGCAGCGTTTGAGAGAGATCATTGTGCCTTCTTTAGCTCTTTTTGGCAGTGATGGCTTTCGGACTGATAATCTGGACAACGAACAATCCGAAGTTCTCTCAACCCTGCTTCCAGCGTCTTTACAAGAATTGACTTTGTTGTACGAGGATATATACCTTGCTGGCACCATACGCTTGTTACCACTGGATCCTATGGTCGCAAGGCTCGACGACTTCGTCCTTTACAATTGTCAAAAGGACAGGTGGATCACCAAAGACGGCGTGGAAGGCTTCGTTCCAGTTCCTGTTCCAGACCTAACAGGCACTGCTCCGCGGTCCATGCTAAACAACATCCCGTTACTGATTGAGAATCTGAGGGATAGCTTGGGCCTGTTGCCTCCTGCGATGCGCTCAGCAGTACTTGATCAGTGGCATCGCGAAGCGGGAGAAGAGTTACCTCTTGGGGAATGCATGATCATGCGCGCTGCCTTGCAAGAGGTGAGGTCTATTTTTCGACTTTGATCCCATTCGTGAGCAGTCACTCGCCATTAGTAGAGCTGCTCTGTCCAAGATGATTTCATCCGGGCCGTCACGACGAACTGCTTGTACGAGAATTCGCAACACTTCAGGCACCAACACTGAAATCTTGGCGTAGCGTGGCTCTCCATCCTCCTAATGGCGACTACCGCTGTCTCATACCGTCAGCCCGGCAGGCAATCGGAAAGATAAGAGTCTGAGACACGTGCTCCCAGATTTCGACTGGCTATACACAGGCTATATACTGACTTTTGCCTCGGATGGCAGCTATGCTCTCCGCCTCAGGCCCAGCTCCACCTCGCCCAACGCTTGACAGACGGAGCATCTGGCTAACTCGTCTCCACAAGGACACCATCGACTCACCTCATACTTTCCGCTTTCTCGATCTACCGCGAGAACTTCGAGATCTGATTTACGAATACGTCTTCTCTGGAGTGTACGTTCCACTTGGCTTCACTAGCATCAAAGCACAGAATACAGGAATACTCCTCGCCAGCCATCAAACCTACGCTGAGGCCACCTTCGCATACTACAACCTGTCATCTTTCAACGTGAAGCGGCTATGGGCATGCACAATCTGGAAGGCAGAACTCAGCAGTGAGCAATGGGGATATGTTACAGCAGCGAAGACGAGGTTACACTGGGACTCCATGCTCCGACTGATGCCGCAGCGACATGCGGTCCTCATAGATGTTCTAAAGAACTTGCGTTCCGAAGGCGTCAAGGTCAACCTTGCGCTACTCAAGATGGTAGTCGAGAGAAAGAAGCGACCTCTGTGTCAGAAGATCTTGAATCGGTATCATGTTGCTCCGAGCACACGATGGGGAAGGCCTCGAAGTTCTGACGGAAACCCATCCAATCAATGGCGGAGGTGCGCAAGAGACATGGGCTTGTCCGATTGTGATCAGGATTGCTGCGTTCAAGTTCCTGGGAGATTCTGCACTTGCTGGGTGTGCGGCGGGAGAGATGTCGAGGATGATGGTAATGAGGACGAGGCCTTTTGAAGAGGGCAAAAGGCGAAGCGAGCTTAAGGCACGTACAGCGATCTGACAAAGATCTTCCATATCATGTACTCAGTTCAGTTGCGAGGTCTTCACAGGTCTTCTAAGCCGCTGATGTATCCGCAATACGTTTCGCAAAGTTTACAGCACCTTCTAGGCGCAGACTTCAGATGATAAGATGTGGTAACTGAGATCATCGTCCACTGAAGTGATTAAGCAATTCACCAAGCGGCGATGGCACACGAACTCGGCAGAGTAGGGAGGTGACTCGAGGAGAAAGGCTGCAGCTGAAAAGTTCCAACCTCCGGTTGTCGGAAGCTGCACTTCTAGCTCTTTCCTTCACTTCATCCACCGGCACAACACCAATCCTCTCGCGCATTGCCATCGCTCTCACCACCAGCATCGCGAACATGGATCCTGTCTCTCCTTCGTCAGGGGACCCAGATGGACCCAGCGCACCGAGTGGCTCCTCCGCTACCGCTAACGCGTTCGAATCCATTGCCGATCTATGCTCGAACTTCGAGTTCGTTGGAATCGCCGATTGTCAAACTCTCGCCTTCCAGCGCTGGCCCCCTTCTCACACATCGCTGGAGCCCAAGAAGGACCCCGTCACTTTCTTGAGCCTGCCTCGCGAACTTCGAGACATCATCTACGATTTCGCGACCAAGGATGTCGAAGTCCATCTCGGTCGAAAGAAGCTATCGCTCCGCAACAAGAAGGGGGAAACCAGGTCATCGCAAACCAAGTCATCGCCATCTCTTCCGCTCGCGAGCTTTGGTTATGGACACGACAGAAGTGGGAAGAGACTCGAGAGGGAGATCTGCAGCGCGGCGCTCACCATCCTCCCTCAATCATCGATGTCAGCCACCAATTCCGGTCTTCTCCTAACCTCCAAACAAGTCCGCTGCGAAACCGTCTCACTCTACCTTCGCAACACTCTCTTTACATTTCTCCGCGCAAGCACGGCCGCGGACTGGATCAAAAGCATTCCGCTCCCGCTTCGGGAGTCCTCACTCCAGCACATACGGCTATCGATCGCGTCCAAATGCTACCTCGACGTCATGAATCGCAGGAAGAGATCGAGGGAACGATATGAGACGTTAGCATATTATCTGACCACAGAAAGCCTGAACAACAAGGAGGACTTCTGGGAAAACCTTGGTCTTGCACATTTGACCATCGGTCGTGGATTTCAATTGCAGTATCAGTACTTTACAGCGGTTCCGGATGATGAGTCTGATACAGCACGCGGGGTCGTGGTTGCCGAATGGAAAACTGATTGATGAGCCTATGGGAATAATGAAGCTTGGGAGGCAATGCTTGCATGAGGAAGGCGTCGCCCGGCGCTGAGTCGTCTGTCGTGAGCAATCTCCAGAGCTACATCATTCTTCAGAGTAGCAGGTGCTCCTTTCTCGGTCCGCTAAGCGTCGCAGCAGGTTGTGCTACGAAGTTCTGGGTGAGACAGGATTCTCTGTACGCTCATCGAGCGTTTTGCTCCAGTGTAGCGTAGCCTGGGCTGCGTATTATTCGCCGGGCATACATCGAAGGTTCTCAAAAGGGCTTGACGCGGCGACTATCGCACAGGCAGTTTGCAATTTTTTCGCCAAAGCCAGCCGTTCCAAAGCGAGCCACCGCTTTCTAGCTTAACAGGAATAGCACGCGCGGCGAAATCTTCTCCGAGAAGCGACTTCCTTCTGTAGAACATGAGTAGATAGCGTGGAAAGCAGCAAGGTGGTCACGGCCCTTGAGTCTTGGCAACGAAGTCAACGCACTTCCTGCTTCTTCTCACTCCTCTTCTTTTCGTCCCACATTCTTCGTCCAGACTCCAAGCCCAAACTTGCAAGCGCAGAACTCCATCTTTCACTCCGTCTACATCCGATGACAGCCTCTGCATACCATACGCCAGCGGGGCAGAATGATGGACTCGAGTTCTACCTCCGAACGAGCATGGTTCCCCGCCCTGGTCCATGAGCACAGTCAGCGGCGGTGTTGCCGCACGTGATCGAGATCCCTTGACTTCTCGTCCTCGATCTGACATTGCTCAACTTCGATCAATTTTCAAGGTGCTTTCGTACGCACGAAATCGCCCGCAGAACTACCTCCGCCGTGGCTTCCGCGGTTCGTCACTGGACAGTATGCATGTCAGCCTGTGAGCCGGTCAGCACCTTGGACCAGCGGATGGCAGGCACGACAAGGGAGGAGCACAGACTGGATAGCATGATTAGTCAAGAATGTTTAAGTCCGACCCCATGGGGAATTAGCGTCTCCACGCGTTCACTGAGACGTCTGTGCAGTCCCGCACATCATCAGATGAAGCTGTGGTGTGCTTCTGGATGAACGGCCTTCCTGCTCGGGTTGCGATCACTGACATGAACAAGCGACGTAGCATGCTGAAAGAAAGGACCACAAAGCGAAGCCAACGCCGGATTGTAGACAGGAACACCGCAAGAGAATCACGATGCAAACTATGCGAGCTCATCAGATCGATGAGGCCGTGGAAGTCGTCAGATCCGAGCCGGGTCAGACGACATTATTGCGATGCTCAATGTGCCAAAGCTCATGCCAATACGGATGTGCCTCGAACCCGGTGGGCGCAGTAATCATCTGCTCATTGCGAATGATCATTCGAAAGAGGAGGCCAATTTCTACAGCGTCTCCACGACTCGATGTCAGATGCCAAGGATAATCCGCTCGAATTGATACTCCCAGTCTCATCTCGCTTGTACAATTGGATGTTCACCCGAAAGTCACACGCTAGCACCGATCAGCGCCGAGGTGTGAAAGCATTGGAATATGCCGATGATTAATCACCTGTCGAAGAGCTCGATGGTTCATGGGTCATTCGTCTCCAAGCTATCCTAGAGCTCTCGGTGCTATATCGTCTCACGTATGCCCTCGAACCGTTCGCCAGCAAGCCACTCCCGCAGGCTCACTCAGATTCAATGGCAGACTACTCCAATGGTAACAATGGCGATTTGAGCGGCAGCGATGCCAAAGAACGCGGTCTCAATGGCAGCGGCCCAGACACAAGCCATGACTTCTCTGCAGATGCCATTGAGCGCATCCGCAACGCGAGTACAATCAACATGACGCCGGAGCTTTTCGAAAGATTGTACCTCCAGCCTCCTACTAAAGTCAAAGGCGATTTACGCAAGACGTTTGGCAATCCTACTCCGCTTGCTCTGACTGGCTTCGTTATTGGCCTTACGCCGCTTTCGTGTCAACTCATGGGATGGCGAGGTTCTGGAGGGCTTGGTAGTGGGACGATGTGAGTTGTCCTTCCACAGATCGATAACGGCACGCAGAGCTTCGAATTTTGATCTGAGCTAATTCACGCCAGTGGTGTCTACTACTTTATCGGCGGCCCATGTATGTGGATCGGTGGGCTTCTCGAATGGTTCCTCGGCAATACGTTCTCCTTCGTGGTCTTCTTCTTCTACGGTGAGCAGAGATATTCTTCACGAGCCACGATTATCCTCGTTTTGTGGCTAACTGCGGAACACAGGTGGAATCATGTTCGGATGGGGAGCAACACTGCATCCTTTCTACAATGGCGCCGGCGCATACGGAGTTGACGGCACGTATCGCGCAGGTCTGGCAGCGGACGGGTTTTGGGCAAGTCTTGGTAAGGTGTTTCCTTCGTGCTAGCACCTCTGCCAACCACGATACTGACATGCTATGTCTCACCACAGCATTTTGGCCTGTAGCAGCCGGCATGATCAGCTTCGTGTTCATGATCGGCGCCTCGAGAATCAACGCAGTCTTTGTAATGGTCTTCCTCAGCATCGGATTGGGTTTCCTCCTCCTTGCGGCTGCCTTCTGGGAACAGGCTCTCGGAGACGCAGACATGTACGACACACTTCTTCAGGTACGTATCCCACTTTTCCTTTCATTTTTGCTCCCCAGAGTGCGACTGTAACAAAGCTGACCTGAACGTAACAGGGCGGTGGTGGCTGCTGGTTTGTCTGCTCCCTATGCGGCTGGTATCTTCTCTTTCAGCAGATTCTGGACTCCGTCGGATTTACACTCCAGCTCCCCGTCGGCGATTTCAGCAAGTTCTGGGCTCGTCGCGAGGGCCGCGTTGAGCTTGTTGAGCCTGGAGCCGTCGCTTAAAGACGGAGAAGCATGCATGAAGCTATGCAGGGTAATGACAATGTAATGGGAGGTGACGATGACATACGATGATGACTGTAAAGAGGCCTTCTACTAACAATGGTAGAAATTGAAGAGCGTAGCGAGATACCGTCTACGCTGATCGCGTAGGCACACCTACAAAAAGTCCAATTGAGGTATATAATAATATGATGACGACGTTCTTTCTCACTTCACTGTACCACAGAACTTCTAGTTAGTCCTCGGTCATCGGTCCTTTCTCCATCACAATCCAAGCCTCCCAAGCCCTTTTTGTCGCTCTCCAGCTATGCACTGCGCCCACCTCGAATCTTTTAGCACCGACCTCAGCTCCCTGCACGACATGCCGTTGGTCAACGCCGTCCTTCAGCCACGTGCAAAGCTGCACCGAAACGTGGAGAGCGGAGAGCCCCGGATGGAGATCACTGACTTCATCTGCTCGATATCGAATGGCGATCCATGACAAGTTCTTGGCAGCTGCTTGGATCCCAAGAAATCTCGGGCTGTCTTTGACCCACCTTCGGTTGTTAGAATACCGAGTGGATCTAGGAGGCGAACATTTATGGTCGTCTACCACAATCTTCGAGGAAGTGGTTGTTTCTTGTTGGTGATTGTAGCGTCGCTGCACTGATTGTGGATTGATCAATACTGTCGTGCTTGCAGTCATGCTCCAGCTATGGAAACACAATTTTCGAGGCAAGACGCTCGTGTGGGCGATCACTGCTGCGGCATGTCAGGCTTTCTTGCTGTTGGGGTTTGATCAAGGTAAGTCGATGGGTGTCGAGGTCATTTTCGTATGCTAACTCTGGCGAAGGTGTGATGGCTGGCATCATCGGCGCAGACAATCCCTTCGGCGAGTACTTCAACAACCCGGACGCCGACATGCAAGGCAACATCACCGCCCTGTACGATATTGGATGTGTTGTTGGTAGTATCATTTGCTACTTCGTAGGCGAAAGGCTGGGTCGAAGGACTATGCTGCTCGCAGGTGGATCGATCATGATTGTTGGAGCGGTCATCCTAGGCACGTCCATCAACGTTGCACAGCTCATCGCGGGAAGAATCATCACTGGAGTAGGGAATGGCATGAACTCATCTACGGCGCCGGTATATTTGTCGGAGTGTGCGCCATCGAGCTATCGAGGCATGCTCTTGACGTTGCAAGGCACGCTGACCATTCTGGGCGTCGTGATTGCATACTGGTGAGTAGAAAAGTAGGTGTTCGAATTCAGCTGCTGACAAGATTCCAGGATGGACTATGGCACCAGCTTCTCATCGACGAGCTTCCAATGGCGGTTCCCTCTATCCTTCCAAGCGATCTTCGCGATCTTCCTGGTGCTGCAGGTCATCGGGTTGCCCGAAAGTCCACGATGGCTTGTGCAGCATGACCGATATGAAGAAGCAGCGCAAGTCACTGCAGACCTGTTGAGCAAAGACGTCAACGATGCGGATGTGGAAAGAGTCATTCTCGACATCCGAGTGGGCCTTGAAGAGGAGCAAAAAGGGGGACCATTCCGATTCAAAGAACTCTTCACCTGGGGCAAGGTACAGAATCTGCGACGACTGCTTCTTACCATCAGTGTTCAGTTAGCGCAACAGTGGACTGGGTCTAACATGATAAACTACTACTCTCCTGTTATCTTTCAGGACACCATGGGCATGACGCGGAACATGGCCCTCATCCTGGGTGGTGCAGCTCAATGTACGTACCTAGTGGGCTCCGCCATCCCAGTGTTCCTCATGGATCGCTTCGGAAGACGAGCGCTACTCCTCTCGTGTACTGCTGGACTATGCATCTGCTTCGTTGCAGTCTCTGCGCTTCTCTCGCAAGCTTCCGAAACAAATCGCGGACCAGCGTACGGAGCAACGGCATTCATCTTCCTCTTCCAGCTGGTGTACGGGATCGGTTGGCTGCCAGTTCCATGGTTCTATCCGACCGAAATCAACACGACCAGGGTGCGAACACGAATGCAGGCAATCGCATCAGGCTGGAACTGGATGGCTGTATTCGCAGTGGTAAAGATCACGCCGATCTCGTTCGAGAACATTGGATGGCGGACGTTCATCGTCTTCGCAGTACTGAACGCGGCCTTTATTCCCATGGTCTACTTCTTCTATCCAGAGACGAAAGGAATTGAACTGGAGGATATTCCGCTTCTCTTTGCCAAGGGAGGTATTACCGGCGGTGTTGCATCATCCAAAGGCGGTAGAACTGTCATTCCACATCAGCATGCTATGGAGTCTCATGTCAATGAGAAGATTGACGCCGATCATCAGGAGATTGAAAAGGTCGGCTAGAGTAGAAGACAGTCCACAGCCGAAGCTATGATCGTGCGTATCTTCGCAAATATTGTTCACCAAGCTTCTACATGTTCTTGCCGATATCTTCCGATTGCCACTCCGAATGATGTAGGCCAGTAATTGAGAGCATGCATGCAATCGTGTCGGCGTAAATTGAAGAAGGACCTGTGACGCCGATATTTGTCGCCTCCTCAATCTTGACAAAAGTCGTGGTTTGAGATCGCCCTCGACGCCAACTTCACAGTCGCAAGTCAACAATCGATCGCATTCGCTATTACGCGCCCAAAATGTCCATTCTGGAGCTGTCGCAACCGCCGACTGATGCAGTATCATCAGTCATATTCTCTCCAGACAACAACACGCTCGTCGTCACTTCGTGGAACACAGACACCGCCATCCATGTCTACCGCCGAACCGAATCGAGTCCGCCCTTCGAGCTGTCGAGCACAATAGCAGCGTCCGCGCCGTTACTCGACGCATGTTTCGGCTTCGATTCCGATACTATCTACACAGCTGGCCTCGATCGGACAACCACGCGGTACAATCTCAGCCAAGGCACAGAGAGTCAAGAAGTCCTCAGCAGGGCTAGCAGGCCCACAAGCAAGATCGCCTTTTCGCCAGAACACAATGTCGTTCTCAGCATATCATGGGACGCTACGCTGAGGGTGCATGATGCCGAAAACAAGAAATACGTTACCATCCAGCTCGCTGCGAAGCCGTTCGCGCTTTCCGTCACAGCCGATAAGGCCCTCATTACGATGGCAGAGAGAAAAGTGCACGTCTACGCGCTGGCAGATCTGAAGGCCTTGACTGGACAAGCAGGCAGTACGTCTGGTATGCAAGAGCCATTGCACGCGCGTCCGTGGCAAGAGCGAGAATCGAGTCTGAAGTTCATGACGCGGGACACTGCACCGATGCCTGATGGCTCAGGGTTCGCGGTCTCGTCGATCGAAGGCAGAGTAGGTGTGGAATGGTTCGATGAAGAAGAGAACAAGAAAATGTATGCGTTCAAGTGCCACAGAGACAAGACTACGAGAGTCAATGAGGAAGGGCAAGAGGTCGCGATCGATGTTATTTATCCAGTCAACGCAGTTGCTTTCCACCCTGTTCACGGCACCTTCGCGACTGGCGGTGGAGATGGCGTAGTGGCATTGTGGGATGCGAAGACTAAGAGGAGGATCAGACAATATCCTAAGCTGCCTGCTTGCGTGGCTGCGATGCAGTTCAGCTCCGACGGAAAATATTTGGCAATCGGCGTCAGCCCAGGATTCGAAGATGGCAAGGAAGCGGACCCCACGGACCCAGAACTGGTGAAAGTATATGTCAGAGAGCTTGGGGAAAGTGAGGCAAAGGGCAAGCCAGCGAAGGAGAAGTGATGTCTCACTGTCAGCTGGTTTGAGAACAATTTTGGCGATCCGCACCTGCAGGAACAGCCGTCCTGGAACCGTGTCTCTGAACCTTGGGCCATCGACGGGACTCTCAGGGGGTCCCGAACGCCGCCAGTCCATGCGGAAATAACTGGTATGTACAAACATGATTGAGGCAATCGACTCAGTCACATGGCCTTCGCGCCAATTGACCGTAACTTGAAATTCGCCGAAGCCCTGCAGAGGAGCCTTCAAGGATACTACAGTGTCACTATGCTGTGCAGCTTTCTCCGCAACAACTCGCGAAGGGCGCGAGACACGTATGCGCGGTAGTCTACACGCATGCGATCGGAACATCTCGAATGCCAAAGCATCGAAATGACCCCAAGTGGAGCAAGTAGCTACTCGGCAGAAGCGCGAGGAGACGCCAGTGAAGCGCCGTTCGCTGACCATGGACGCGCTGTGCGCATCACTAGTACTGTAGACAGTCGCTGTAGTAGAAATCGTATGAAGATCATGAACACTCGCTTTCACTTTCACATGCAATTTTCACACTGTCCCAGAACTTTACGTTATTGCCACAAATCCTTGCATGAAACCACCACAACTTCGAGTTCTATTATCTTCCACAACCATTAACCAACAAAATTTCGCGACACAGCGCCGCATCCTGCCTTCCCCAGTCTATTCAGAAGACCTGCAACAAGCCCGATGCGCACAATCCTTCTCCCCATCGGCCCGCCCGGAGCAGGCAAATCTACATTATGCAACGGCTTACAACAATTCATGCGAGCGATCGCTCGACCTTGCTCAATCGGGAACTTGGATCCAGCGAACGATAATATCCCATATGAAGCCGCTTTCGATGTGCGAGATCTTGTTTCTGTCGATGAAGTTATGGAACGCGAGGAACTGGGTCCAAATGGTGGGGTGTTGTGGGCGATGGAGGAAATTGAGGTTAACGTGGATTGGTTGGAGAGGGAGTTGGAGAGGTGTGGTGAGTTTCTCAGAGACTAGGCGTTTCGTTTCGATTTGTTGCAAATGCACTTCGAGTATCGAAATTCAAAGCGGCTGTTTAGAAAACTCTGGATCGTTAAATACATCTTGACTGACATCATTTGAACAGAAGAGACAATCGTTCTCGATCCTCCCGGTCAGCCTGAACTCACCATCCACCACCAATCACTGCCAAAGATCTTGCACAGACTTGAGAAACTTGACTATCGGGTAAGTTGTCGATGTTCCGCCACGACAGACCACTCGCTAACATGACTTAGATAGTCGTCATCCAACTCCTCGACTCAATCGTACTTACAAGACCATCATTATACCTAAGTTCTCTCCTTCTCTGCCTCCGAGGACCACTTCATCTCCCATACCCCATCGTCAACGTTCTTACCAAGATTGACAACCTCAAAGCCGTGGGCGGTGCAGACTTACCCTTCAGCTTGGACTTCTACACAGAATGTCAATATCTCGAACACCTTCTTCCAGAGCTCTCCAAAGAACAAGCCGGAACACCAGGCGGCGCGTCCGGAAAATGGGACGATCTGAACAAAGCTCTCATCAGCCTGATCGAGGATTACGGACTCATGGGCTTCGAAACCTTAGCCGTAGAAGACCGGCAAAGTATGGCTGCGCTATTGCGAGCGATCGATCGTGCAAGCGGATATGTCTTCGCGGGGGCGAGAGGTAGAGATGAGAATGGGAAGACGTTGAACGATGAAGCGAGTATTTGGGCTCAGGCGATGAGTCAGAGTTATGGGCAGATGGACGTGAGGGATGTGCAGGAACGCTGGATTGATCGAAAAGAGGAGTATGATGAGGCTGAGAAAAAGATGTGGGAGGAGGAAGCTAGGTTAGCGGGTGCATTGCCTGAGGCGCCGGCCGCAAAGGTGCAGAGGAAGGAGGCGGCAGGAGAGACAGACGATGGCGAAGACGAGTTGCTGGAGGAGCAGAGGCGTTGGCAAGAGCAGCAGGCTAAAGGAGCGGGAAGTGCTGGTGGAACCAAGGTGAAGAGGATGCCGTAACGTGACTCGCTACGCCGCTATGGCGATGTTATTCCGATGGTGCCGCCGCAAAATAATGCACGTTCCACTGCTCACAATGGGATAAAGATTGTCTCGGGTGAGTCTCTGCGAGGCATTAACTAGGAAGGCCAAAGTCGATGCCACGGAAGTCGTCCCATACACGGAGACACAGGAGGTGATGCGGTATTGCGGTCACCTACAGGAGTGAAGCCAGGAAACCCATAGCATATTTGCCAAGGCTCTACGACAAACACGCCACAATCGCTGCGATTGCGGCCAAGGTCCCATCCGGATCCTCCACGTGCACAGTCCTCAAGCCCAGCTGCTTAGCAGGATAATCATTTCCACCAGGAAATATCGCATCTCCTATGAACATCATCTCCTCCAAGTGGATTCCACTCTCCTCACTGAGCTTCCGCAAACCATAAGCCTTGTCAACTCCCTGCTTCGTTACATCGATTGACGTGGTTCCACCCATGTTGATGGAGAGATCCGGCAACCGCTTCTTTAGATCGGCTTGGATGACTTTGCGCTTCGCGAAGTCCGGGTCCCAGGTCTGTTTCTCAGAAATTGGAGCCTCTTGGCCCAGAGCAGAGAACGTAATTTGACTTCCGCGATCTTCGATCCTCTCGCCCCAGGTCTGAGAGGGCTTAAACCCTGTAGCCTCAAGTGAGGCATCAAAAGCTTGGAGAATTGAAGCCTTAGTTTCGGAAGTGAAGAGGTCGGCATAAACGGTTTGCCAGGTATTGGTAGGAGCGTCAAATCTGTAAAGTTTGGTGCCGCTTGTGGGCATGAGCCAGAGCTTGGAGAGGTCGGCGGTTGGTGGAAGTCGGGATGCGATTTGTTTGGAGAATTGAGGCCAGTCGCCGCCGGAGATGACGGCGACGTGGGCGACTTGTAGGAGCGAAGTGAGGGCTTCGGCCACGTTTTGTTGAATTGCTTGTTTGCTGATGGCCAAGGTGCCATCAAGGTCAAATGCGACGAGTTTGATCATGTTGGCGGTTCTCCACGAGCCTTCGGGTTCACGTATGCTTCGCTTTTTGAGACAGAGTGCCTCGAATGTGCTTGATTGGGCGGAGATACGAGGAAGGGTTAGTTTTTCGATGTTTCGCGACGTGGACGGCTCTTGTCAAGAGACGAGTGTTCCTGCTCAGAAGTGCCACTGTTAACTTGGCGGCAGAGAGTGCGTTCTTAAGTCAATGGCAGTTGCACACCTGTCCGTTCGTTAGTCGCTCCTGCCAAGAACGTTTCACATGCATCCTTCGACATTTTGATTGGCATTCCAGAGATGCGTACGCGTCACTCCAGTCGGTGTCAAGTGAAAAGATAACGAGGTCAATGCGTCGCGATCACAACTGCGCCTCAAAGCACAATTTGCGAAAGAGATACGTGTTCAATATGCCAAAGCCTCGCGCAACTGAAACGTAGCAAGTGCTGACGACGAAGGAAGCCAACGTCTGCTCCTACAATTTCGACTCCCTCCGCACCTGGAGATCATCTCTGCGCAGGTCATTCACCGATTTCTTCCCCATATTGGCCAGCATATTATCCGTGTCAGCCAGCATGCACTTCAGTACGTGCTCCACCCCAGCTTGACCTTTGATCGCCAGCCCGTACATATAAGGTCTGCCGACCAGGACAGCTTTTGCACCCAATGCCAATGCCTTGAGTACATCACTTCCGGTGCGGATACCGCTGTCGAAGAGCACTGTCAAACCAGACTGCTTCACTTTCTCGTCCGCTCCAATGTCGGCCAATGCGTCAAGGGAGGCAATAGCGCCATCGAGTTGCCTGCCACCATGATTCGACACAATAATGCCGTCCATGCCGTACTCGATCGCCTTATGCGCATCTTCCACAGTCTGTATGCCTTTCAACACGATCGGTCCATCCCACAATTTCTTCAGTGTTTCCAGATGCTGCCATTCACGGTATGTGCCTGAGTTCAGAATATCAAGCCATGCACGAGACACTTTGAGCTTCGAAGCATTGGCCAACAATCTCAGCGCGCCAAAGGGAGTGCCAGGTCTCTTGATTATATCCCAAGCTTCCGCGAGTTTCTCCGAAGCAGATCTCGTGTCACTGGCCAGCATTTCTTGGTATCGTTCCTGGAAAACCGGATCCGAATGTCCGACTTGACAGCCGTCGCCCCAAAGGAATGGCAAATATGAGTTGTCGAGATCTTCAGGGCGCCATGCCAGGGTGAAAGTGTCGAGAGTGACGACGAGGACTTTGTAGCCATTCTCCTTGGCGCGATTCAACAGGCTGGCTGTGATGGCTTCTTCTTGGGGCTTGGGCCAGTACAGTTGGAACCATCTATCACCGTTGCCATTGGCTTCTGCGACTTGCTCGATAGTTCTGGTGGCTGCTGTTGAAAGGATCATGGCGACCTTGAGTTTCTGGCATGCTCGTGCGGTCGCTTCTTCTGCGTCAGAGTGCATGATGTTTTGTACGCCGACTGGAGCAACGAGCAGCGGACTGTTGTACGTAGTGCCGAAGAGGTTGACACTCAGATCTCTCCGGGTGGCGTTCACGAGCATTTGAGGTCGGAGTCGATATCGGTCGAATGCTTCGAGGTTCTGTCAATTCGTCAGCCCTCATGAACATCAACGCCGCCTGTGCCTCGGGGCTGCATCTCTTTCCTCTCCAGCTTATTTCTAGACCCTCACTTACAGCCTTGTATGTCTTGAAGCTCGAAGCTGATCCGTACACATAACCAAAGTTGGCCTCTGGCACTTTCTGTTTTGCTAGTGCTTCCCATTCTGCTGGCTTCGTAGAGAAAATGGGCTTTCCGAAAGACGAGTAAATATCACGTTGGTATGCTGAGAGTGCTTCTGGATCTGGCGTATCCCATGGCTTGTTCCACTTCTTCGCCTCTGCAAGCTTGACCATCGTGCCTGCTTATTATGATTATTCCTGCTTCGCAAGTGTTCTTTGCTGATTGAAGTCGAGATTCTCCTCTCCTGTTGTCTGTGGTTCGTGCTTCTACCAGGTTGTGCCTGATTGATAGAAAGTAACGTTACCGTTTGATGCGTGATCGGAACCGAGGTTCAGTCGCGTCATTGAACGACGCGTCTCCAGCGATTCAGCTATTTCCACGCAGTACTCGTACCTTCGCGGCTTGCGAAGACGCTTCACGTCTAAGCATCGTTCGGCGACAGCTGCCAAGTATCCGATTCGACTCGTATCGCAGCCAAATGTTTCTCAGCTCTGTAAGAAGTTCACTTCCATGTCTTGGCAAAAGTCGCGCCACGAAATGCCAGACAAACGAGAAAGTGGATCCTTCCCCATCTTTCTCTCCGCACGCTTTCCTGCTGCCGTGCAACCACATCCCACCCTCTTCATCTCCATCTCAAAACACCATCCAATCCTTCAACGCAGACTTGTTTATTCCCGAAGATTTGCTTTATCGCTCCGGAAGGTATTCCGCCGCTATTTGACATGGCCACACGTGAGCTTCGCGTGCAACTGAGCCGAACAGACGCGGAATCACGCCACATCGTCATGCGGCTCGAAGGATTGGGAGACGATCTTTGCTGTATCGCGATATGGGTATGATGAAACGGTAGGTTTGACGAGATGTGCGCGTAGCGTGGTGCTTGGGATGGGCCACGAGTTGCTTAGGCTAAGTACAAGACTCTTCTCCGCTCTTGTTCTTTTGTTGGTATTCTTCTTTTGCTTGATGCGTGCTTCTTAATCTGAACGGAGGTATAGACGCGTTCGTCAAAAGTATGGCGAAATTGCCGCAGTATAACGTCTTTGGGCGAGGTAGAAGTCTCAGATGGTCAATTACGATTGCATGTCAGGTATGAAGATTAACCAGAAACTCTGGGGAGAATTCTAGGCTGACTTCATCAGATCGCGGTAAGCACGGCATGCGTTGAGCACTGTTCGTGATGTCGGAATTAACATGTTCAGTTCGTCCTGTTCGGCTACGATCAAGGTGTCTTTTCTGGCATTGTCGGCAATGAGGACTTTAGAAACACATTCGGCTACCCTGGAAGTGCGGAAGAAGGCATAATCGTCTCCATCTATAACTTGGGCGCATTTTCGGGATGTATCGTCAACTTCTTCCTTGGCGAGAAGATGGGCAGGCGATTGTGCATGTGGGTTGCTATGGGCTTCATTGTAAGTGTGGTCTCGCGTGCACAATTCCATGTGCTCGATGGCAGGGCTTTCGAAGAGAGTGATCTGACTGACACCAACTCCATAGATCGTCGGTGCAGTCCTCCAAACCACTTCCTACTCCGTTCCTCAAGTCCTGGTGGCACGCTACATAACTGGCATCGGCACTGGAATTGAGACTTCTACTGTGCCTATGTATCAGTCGGAACTTTGCGACGCAGACAAGCGTGGCCGTCTTGTTTCCTCGGAACCACTTTTCGTCGGTGTGGGCATTGTTATCGCCTACTTTTTCGATTACGGCATGTCCTTTGTCGGAGGTCAAGCAGCCTGGCGGGTTCCAATTGCTTGCCAGATCATCTTTGCCATAGTGGTCATCATTTTGGTGTTTGGCCTACCCGAGAGTCCTAGATGGCTGTATGCAAGGAATAGAAATGTGAGTGATAGTGGCAATACGTTGAGTCCGAGCTGCATGCTCATTGGTAATTCACCGATATAGGAGGAAGCCCTCCAAGTCATGTGCGATGTTTGGGACAGTGGACCCGACGGAGAGAAAGTGCAAAAGATGCAAAGCGACATTCTCGGAGCGCTTGAACTGGAGCGAAAGCACGGCGAATACAAATGGCGGCAAATCTTCAAGCGCGATGAAGTTCAAACGGGACGACGAGTTCTTCTCGCATATGGCATGCAATTTATGAATCAGATGGGAGGTATCAATCTGGTCGTGTGAGTGGACTCTGTTCGTGATATGGCTCCAAGAAAAGACTGACGATGGTTCAGCTACTATGTTCCCTCTGCCCTCGAAAATAACGTTGGCCTAACCCGGAACTTGTCCTTGCTCATCGGAGGCGCGGTCCAATGCATGTTCTTCGTGGGATCCCTCGTACCAACCTTCTTTCTCGACCAAATGGGAAGACGACGACCAATGATGTGGGGATCTCTCGGCCTTGCATTATCCATGATGATGATCTCAATCCTGCTCAGTTTCCAAAAGCCGCCGGAGGAGCGAACGGATCTGTCTGTTAAGACGGCTCAAGCCAGTGTCACATTCTTCTTCACTTACATGTTGACATTTGGCGCCACAGCAAATTGTATTCCATGGGTCTACGTACCCGAGATACTTGAAAAGTAGAGAGAGTGAGAACTGTAGAGTACATGGAAGCCCCTGATCGAGCTACCTGTCGACAAACTACGTACGCTATATACCCCCGTT